GCTCCTCCTTCTGGTGGCCACTGGTGCCTGTCCCTGGGCCCATCCTTGTGCTGATGAGGGGCCAGTGCCCTTCTGATGGGGACCCTGCCACCTGCCAGAGACCCTGGGCTCCAGCCCCTCCCTGTTCCATGGGGTGCCCCCTCTTCTGCCCATCCCACCCCTCAGGGTCCTGGAGCTGCTGGGTGGCTGTGGGAGGGGCAGAGAATGTTCTGTGGCGAGGCAGGCTGTCCGCATCTCTACCCTCTCCCTGCAGGCTGCCTGGGGGTGGGGTGGGGAGGGTGCTTTCTGGGGAGACGGCATAAGGCCTGGTTGGCTGTGCCAGTCTGCCCTGAATTAGGAGGGCCCTGGGGGAGCCACCTGGAGCCCACCAGCCCTGGCCCAGACCCCAGCACCCACCCTCTGCCAGCAGCAAGCTTCCCTCTTAGTAGGATGGAGCGAGAGTCTCCTCCCCACATGGCTGCAGACCTGGGGGCTGGGGGACAGGCGCGTGGGGGGGTCTGGCCTGGAATTCAGCGGAGCAGTGGTGAGGGGCTGGGGGATGGGCCCTCCAGCCGCACTCCCTCCGAGGGCTCTCATCTGCTGGGAAGGGGGGGAACCTGCGGAAGCAGGATCATGTGACCAAGGTAATTGAGGGCTTTGTGTCCCTCTGTTGCCTTGGTAACGGGAATATAAACCAAGATGCCGTCTGTAGGGGACTGGAACCCTGGGCCTCTGGAGAAAGGGGCAGACGGGGGGCCAGGCGCAGCAGAGGGTAATGCCGAGGGGGCCAGCTGGCCCAAGTCGGGGTGCAGGCTGGGCAGGGGGATCCCGTGGCCCCCGGGCAGAGCATCTGCACCCCTGGCTCTGGCTCCCGATCCCTCCCTGGCAAAGACTGGCTCGTCCTGGGCTCTCGGCAGAGCCAGTGATCTCTGCGCCTGGGAACAGAAGAGAGGGTCTCCCCTGGCTATGGCAGTGGAGGGGCCCCGTGGCCCTGCTGCAGGACAGGGGCCCGAGGCCTGCGAGCAGGGCCAGGAAGGTAGGGAGGGGCGGAGAGGGAGCCAGGGGGTGCTTCAGGAAGGGGGTGGCTGTGGGCACAGGGCAGTTCCTGTAGTGGGTGGGCAGGCCCCTGCAGAGCCACCTCCCGGGCAGCTGGTGTGTGCACCGGGGTCATCAGTGTCAGGAACCGTGGTGTGGCCCTGCAGGGGAGGGGCCGCAGGCTCAGCCAGGCCCTCCCTTCTCTACCCTCCCCCTGCTCCTCACCCCAGGACCCCTGCGCTCCATGGTGGAGGACCTGCAGTCAGAGGAGTCCGACGAGGACGACTCTTCGTCAGGCGAGGAGGCTGCCGTCAAGACAAACCCAGGGAGGGACTCCAGGTGACTGGGCCCGGCGGGGAGCCAGCAGGCACGGGCAGGGGGCCCAGGGCGACCCTCTGGGGTCTGCGTAGGGGTGGAGCCTGGCACCAGCCATGGAATCAGCAGGCTGGAGGCGGGGCCAGGGCTGGAGGGTCCCCTGGGAGGATTGGGGGTTCCCCAGGCAGCCTCAAGGCAGCCTGGTCATCAGGGTGGGCCGGAGCCGTGTGTTATCTCCTGGTCACCCAAGTAGGGACCTCAGACAGCATCCTAACTGGTGGTTGCTGGCAGGTGTGGGCTGCTCAGCAGTGAGGGTGGGGTGTTCGGAGAAGGGGGCGGGGGAGCGAGGCCATGCCCTGCAGCCTGAGCCAGCCCTGTGTGGAGGGCAGGGGCGGGGAGCAAGCTCTTGGGCCAGGAGCCCCCAGTTTCTCATGTGTGTTCCATGAGATGAGGACCCACCAGGAACCCTGGCCTGCGGCTTGCAGATGCCTGGTGTGGGGAGCAGCTTTCGCTGCCCGCTGGCCTGTCCCCTGCACGGTGCAGGGTTGGGAGAGGTCTGGGGTGTGCGGGGCAGCGGCCCAGTCCTCGTGTGGCACTCCTTCCTGCCAGGCCGAGGCCTCCAGGCCTCGGTGGCGCCTCTTCAGGATGGGCTTGGTCATCAGTCTGCACCCAGCAAGGCGCACAGAAACCTTGCAGGTGTCCGTGCTGGCTAAACCGCCTTCCTGGGAGCCGTGGCTGTGACGCCCTGACCGGGCCGCCTGTGGGCAGCGCCCCCCACGCCGGCACGCACACGGGGGCTCTTGGCCTTCGGGAGGCCCAGACCCGAGGCACCGAGGGGTCTTAGCCTCTGGACACAGGAGGACTGGGACGGGTGATGGCTGCTGGCTCTTGCCTCGTTTGGTGACGCTCAGTGCAGATTCTGCTTGCGCCGAGAGCTGTGAGCAGGGACAGGCTGACGGTCCTGTTCTTGAGGGGCTCACAGCAGGACACAGGGGCCCAGGCAAGGAAGCGCCTCTTGACATCCTCCAGGGGTAGCTGCGAGGCTCAGGCAGGGGCAGGGGCCATGCAGGTGCTGGCAGAGCCCCTGCTCACCTGCCCCACTCTGCCCCCGAGAGCCCCTAAGTCTGCTCCGGGCCCCGGCTGCCACCTGTGAGACATAGGGCAGAGGCGGGCGGGAGCAGGGGGCAGGGAGTGTCAGACCTGGGGCGAGACCCGCAGCCACCACAGCTGGAGTCCCCGAGTCGAGTCGAGTCCGGGAGGCGAGTCCGGGAGGCAGCTGCGCTCACCTCGGGAGCGGTTTGGGGAGGCTCGGGAGGAACAGGCCGGAGCACCGTGGCCTTCGGCGCCTTGTGGCGCTTCATTCAGCAGTGAGGCCTGGGATGTACCGTGTTTCAATGTGTTGTGGAATGGTAGATGTCAGGGCTGCCTCTCGCTGGATCCAGCCCAGAGCGCCCCTGACAGAGCGGGGTCCCAGGCAGCCGGCGAGAGCAGCAGCTCTGAGGAGAGCCTTGCAGGTTCAGGCTGGAGGTTTCTAGATGTGGAGTAACCAAACGCGGCCTCCTTGGTAGTCATGGATGGTAGTCATGTCCCATGCAGTCCCCTTGGGAGCCTTTCCCAGATGAGGAAATCAAAGCAGGGGTGTGGGACCCACCCCCCAGGGGGTGGGAGGCTGAGAGCTGGGGCTTGTCGCCGTCACCCCCCCATGGAACCCAGGAGGCCCGAGTTCCTGAGTGGGCAGGGTCGGCTGGCAGGGCGGAGGGGGAGGCGGTTCTCTGCAGGCAGCCACCCAGGAGGAGCGCACCCGGCCAGCCTCGCTGGAGGCTGGTGGCTTTGTGCCTGGCAGGTTCTGGGCTGGGCTCGAGGCGGTCCCAGAGCCGCTCGGAGCGAGCCTCGGTGCTCCTGGGCTGCTTTCCCCTCGGCGGCTGCTCAGCTGCTCTGTTCCTTCCTTCCTTTCCTTTTCATCAGCAGTAGCTGCGCAGATCCAAGGCGGGTTGTCTGGGGACCCAGCTTGGCATTCGGGAGGGGCTGGGTGGGGTGGCAGGGGCCTGACAAGCCGTGTTGATATTCAGGTTGAGCTTCAGTGACAGCGAGAGTGACAATAGCGCTGACTCCTGCCTGCCCGGCCGTGAACCCCCACCCCCCCAAAAGCCGCCCCCACCCAACAGCAAGGTGAGCCTGGGAGGCCCTGGGTGTGTCCCGACATCAGGACTGCTCTGGTGGCCCTGTCCCCACCCCAGAGGCTGAGGGTGGTGGGCGCGGGGAGGCTCGGTTCACGGCCAGGCCCCAGGGTGGGCAGGCCCTGACTGACTGGGGCCAGCCACAGTCCCCGGACGGGGTTTGGACAGGGCCTCGTACCGTGCTGGGGGTGGGGAGCATCCCTGCAGCGGGGGCCAGGTGTGGGCCAGAGCTCAGCAGGCATCTGGGGTTCCCCTGCAGGCGTCAGGCCGGAGGAGCCCCGAGTCCTGCAGCAAGCCCGAGAAGACCCTCAAGAAGGGCACCTATGACAAGGTGGGGGCACAGCCAGTGGGGGCCCAGCCCGTGGGGGCCCCTGAATCACCCTGAGCCCCCAGAGCCAGACTGTCCTGGGCGAGGGTGGCTGTCCCCCCGCTTCCCGGCACTGCTGGAGGAGGCGCCTCCAGTCCCTAGCTGAGATGCACCCTGGTGTCGTTGGCCCTCCTGGGGCAGAACTGGCCACCTCTGCCCGGGGTGGTGCAGGGCCTGGTTGGGGGGCGCTGGGACAAGCTCTTCCCCAGCCCCTACTGAGACCCTGCCCCCCGCAGGCCTACACAGACGAGCTGGTGGAGCTGCACCGCAGGCTGATGGCCCTGCGGGAGCGCAACGTGCTGCAGCAGGTACCAGCCCCTCCCTGAGCACCGGGCGTCCGAGTCCCAAGAGTGGGGTGCCCTGGCTGCATGCCTGAGCAGCCCTGCCCTCCTGGGGGGGCTGGGGGGAGGCTCGGGCCGACCTGTCCTTGGTGCCGTGGTGCCTGAAGCCGCCCTGCCCCTGCCTTGCAGATTGTGAACCTGATCGAGGAGACCGGCCACTTCAACGTTACCAACACCACCTTCGACTTTGACCTCTTCTCCCTGGACGAGACCACCGTGCGCAAGCTGCAGAGCTACCTGGAGGCTGTGGCCACATGACCCTGGGCCGGGTGCCGGCCCCTCGCCGCCGGGGTCCTGGGAGGCCGAGGCTGGGCCCCGCCTACCCTCCTCCGTGCCCGCAGCACTGCCTTAGCGACCGCCCTGTCCTCGGCCCTCACAGCCAGCTGCACTTTCCTCGGCGGCTCCCCACCCGCCTCCCCAGCCCCGGGGCTGAGCGGGGCTGGGCCGGCACTGCTGCTCCCAGCCGCACACAGCTGCCCCCGGGCTCCTCTCGGAGAGTGGCCGCCGTGGGGGCAGCTGTGGGGCTCGCTCCCCAAAGGGGAAGAGACAGTCGCAGCTGGGGGCCCTTGCCCGGCCTCGGGACCAGCCCCTGCCCCACAGCGGGCTGTGTGGCACGGCTTTGCTGCCTGGGCCTCTCTGAGCAGCCGGACCGACTGCTAGGGGCCGTCCCCAGGCTCCCCCAACGGTTCAGAACACGCCCCTCGCCCTTGTGTGCGTGGGCCGAGCGCAGGCCTGTCTGCCGGCTCCCGCGCCGGGACTCCGTGCTGTATAGTTCTCCTATATTATATGTGTGTGCACTGTCTGTGCAAGAGCCGCGTCCGGTGTGCGTGCACGTGCGGGTGCGTACGGCGGGGCATGTAGGTTAAGATGTCTCCGCGGGTCTTGTGGTTGAGGCGCACGGAGTCCTCCTCCCCTGCCGTTCCGAGGACGCCGCCTCCTGCCCGGCACTCCCGGGCGCTGACACTACATGGGGGCGGCCAGTCCTCAGGGTGCCAGGTAGCCGAGAGCTCCGCTCCAGGTGTCTGCCCGGCGCCACCCGTCTCCAGGGACGGAGTCCACGTCCCAGAACTCATCCTCCTCCCATGGGACCCTCTTACTCCCTTTTGTTGATCAAGTCTTCGAACTTTGAAAAAAAAACAAAAAAAAAAAACGAGCTTTTGCCAAATAAGACGGGATAGTTTGTGGAGTTTTCCGAGGCACGTCGGACTCCGAGTTGCCCTCGAGCATGGGCCTCGGCCGCGCAGGCCAGGCCACCTGGCTGCACTGGCCCCCAGGCTGCCTTTCTCTCCGTGGCCGGCCGGCCCCCACCGCCGCGGCCCACGCTGGTGCCGAGCCTGAGACTCACTCCTTGTTCGCCTGAGATCCTCCCAGGGCCGCACCGGTCCTCCCCGGCTCTCCCTTCCAGGGCCGGGGACTCTCATGGGGCCCACCCACCTCGGCTGCGTTCCTGGGCCTGGAGGCCTGTTGCCTCTGCTTCCCCAGACCTGATCCGAGGCTTCTCCAGCCTCCACCCCGACTTCAGAGTCGTTCCAAGTCCTGGTGCCCTGACCAAGATGGGGGAAGAGAGCAGGGCCCCGCGCAGGGCCGCCTCTCTCAAGCCCGCGGTTAGATGGCTCCTCCCCCAGCTATGAGTTCAGCCCTGGGGGTGAGGGCGCCATCTTCCCCCCCTGAGGTCCCTAATCTTGTCCCTGCTCTGACTCTGTCAGGCAGATCCTGAACACTCCTTGGGGTGACCCCTGTCTCCAAGGCTTCCCCTAGCGCCAGCTGTCGGGGAACACCCCAGAACCCCTGGGGAAAGGCCTGAGATGTGTGGAGGAAACCTCTGGGGCTCCTGGCCACCGCTCTGCCTCTGTCCCGGGCCTACTGCCTTCAGGTATCAGGAGGAGAGGCAGGCCCCGCGCCCGTCTCCCTTCCAGGCAGGCCGGTAATACTCAGTGGCGGTCTTCCTGTCCGCTCCGAGTCCCTCCAGACGTTGGATGGGAGGAGCTGGCCTGTGGCTGGCGGGAGGCGGCAGCTGCTCCACCTCCCTGTACAGAGGCCGCCCGGGGTCCCAGGCCCTGGGCCTTCTCCTTCACGAGGATCCCTCAGGATCCACACAGCGACGGTAACAGCCTTCCACTCAGCCGGAGGAGGGTCGGGCTGTCCTGCCTGCCCCCAGCAGCAGCGTCTGCCCTTCCTGCTGCTTCCAAGGCCCCCGGAAGCACCGACTCACATCTCACTTACCTCCTCTGGCCGGAAGCCTCGCCGCTGTCCTCCAGAGCTGCTCTGGGCCCAGGGCTGGCTCCGTGACTCCCGATGGACGTGCCGGGCAGCCAGGGCCCCGCCCCTACCCCACTGCCCGGCGGCTGGGCCCAAGAGGGCTTTGGGGACGCTTCCATAGGAAGGGGCCCGGCACTTTGTGATTGCCGCGTGTTTTGTGTTACGCCGCCCGCCCCCAGTGCAAACCCCCGTGTTGCTCTCTCCTCAACAAAGTGTAAACCGACGCCAGAAAGCGAATGGTATCGAATACCTTTCTTTGCCCACAAGGGTTTTTACAAAGAATGTGTCTCTCTAGGAACTAGGACACTTCGGCCGAGACCAACTCCTGGATAAAAGGAATAAGGAGAATCGTGTTTGTAACGAGTTACAGGATTGTTTCTGTCCTGGATTTTAAACTTTTTTGTTAAATTGTGAAATTATGGAGGAGTTTTATAGAAAAAAAAGTGAAATAAAGTCAGATGGGAAAGCAGACCCGCACATCTGCGTGGTTCCTCCTGCTGAGTCGGGAGGGGGGCATGAGGTAGCATGGGGTGCCCTGTCCTACTCTCTCTCCCAGTGCCTCCAGATCAGTGCCCAGGGAGGGAGGGAGGAGGGCTGGGGCCAAGCCTGGTGGGCAGTGGGAGTGGGGGTGGGGAGTGGGTTGGAAACCAATCCTGATTTCATAAGGGGAGGTGGAGGTATGGAGGCATGTGGATGGAGTTGGATGGATGGATGGATGCAGGTGTGTGGGTTGGTGGAGTTGGATGGATGAATGAATGGATGTGGGTGTGTGGGTGGAGTTGAATGGATGTGGGTGTTTGGGTGGAGATGGATGGATGGATGGATGGTTGTGTGGTGGGTGGGGTGGGTGGGTTGGGATGTGGGTGGGTGGAGATGGGGGATGGATGTGGGTGGGTGAGTGGAGTTGGATGGATGGATGGATGTGGGGGATTGGGTGGAGTGATGGATGGATGGATGTGGGTGGGTGGGTGGAGTGGGATGGATGGATGTGGGTGGGTGGGTGGAGTTGGATGGATGGATGGATGTGGGTGGGTGGGTGGAGTTGGATGGATGGATGGATGTGGGTGGGTGGGTGGAGTTGGATGGATGGATGGATGTGGGTGGATGGGTGGAGTTGGACGGATGGATGGATGTGGGTGGATGGGTGGAGTGGGATGGATGGATGTGGGTGGGTGGGTGGAATGGGATGGATGGATGTGGGTGGGTGGGTAGAGTTGGATGGATGGATGGATGTGGGTGGAGTTGGATGGATGGATGGATGGATGGATGTGGGTGCATGGGTGGAGTTGGATGGATGGATGGATGGATGTGGGTGGATGGGTGGAGTGGGACGGATGGATGTGGGTGGAGTGGGACGGATGGATGTGGGTGGGTGGGTGGAGTGGGACGGATGGATGTGGGTGGGTGGGTGGAGTGGGACGAATGGATGTGGGTGGGTGGGTGGGTGGTTGCACGAGTGGATGGATGCAGAGTAGGTGAATGGTTGGGTCGATGGATGGCGGACGGACAGATAGAAAAACGTGGACAAAGACATCCTTTGCCAGAAGCCCAGGTGCCCGTGTGCCAGCTTACCTGTGGCTGGCTTTTCTCCAGTCTCCGTGTGGCGTGTGGTGGAGCTGAGTGGACCTCTAGGAGACGGAGCTCTCGCTGCGCCCGTCTGAGCAGTTCTGTCCACTCGGGGCTCCGGCTCCCCCCAGTGGAGCAGAAGTCATTCCTGGGTGGCCCACTCCAGAAGCTGATGCCCTCTGGCCACCCTGCCCCGTGTGGCAGCCGCTGATGGCGGTCACAGACAGAGATGTGCAGGCTTTGGGGGACGGTTGCAGATCTGAGCTTCTAACGTAGCGTTACGGAGTGAGAGGGTCCAGAGTGGCCCCCCGGGGTTCCTGGCCCCCCGTGACACAGTGGAAGGACTGTTTATGTGTAGAAATATTGCAGAGCTCTCCCTAAGGGTGATCTCGCGGGCCCTTCACAACCGCTGATGAGGCGGCGCGGCTGCCGCAGTCCCCACTGGCAGACGAGGAGACGGCCTCAGCTGACTCACCCAAGACGATACCCGCAGGCGCAGTTCCACAGCTCGGGCCAGGCGTGGGCGACGTCGTAGTTGAGCGCGCGTGCTCACGCACCAGCCGTTTGGACCACCGACAGGCATCTTGGCGAGCTTTGCAGAAAGATGCCATGGCCCATGCTTGGAAGCTGTGGTTCTGTAGCTCTAGAGCAAGACCCTCCAGAAGGATCCACAGGTGACTTTGAGACCTATGCATTTCACTGTAATAACTGCTTTAGCTGCATCCTACGCGTTTCAAAATGTCATATTCTCATTCAGCTAAATTATTTTCTAATTCCCACTGTAACTTCTTTGAGCCCTGGATTGTTTTAAAAGCTTCTTGCTTAATTTCCAAATAATTGCTAACTTTCTAATTTTATTCTAGTTGGGATCTCCTGTGGTCAGAGACCATTTAGTGACTTATTTCAATTGTTTGGAATTTGTTGAGACTGACTTCATGGCCTAGTGTACGGTCTGTTTTGGTAAATGTTTCTTAAATTTCTGAAAAGAGTGTATATTCTGTTGGATGTCGTATTTTATAAGGGTCAGGTTACTCTTCAAATATTCTTTATTGTCTATTTTTCCCTTTAATTCTGTCCCATTTTGAAGTTATGATAGTACGTATAAATTTATAATTGCTTTAGTTTCCTGGTAGATCAATCATTTTTATTATAAATGTCCCTTTTTATCTCTGGCAGTAATTCTTGTCTTTAATCTACTCCCCCCCCCCATTGAACAAACAAAGCATACTCTTTATTCCAGGCCTCAAAGAATCCCCCGTAAATATCTTTTTTTTCTCCTTTTTTTTTTTTATTTCAGCATATTATGGGGGTAGATTTTAAGGTTTCAATAAATGCCATTTCCCCCCCCTCTCCCCACAGTCTGAGTCTCCAGCATGACCATCCCCCAGATGTGCACATCTCATTATATATGTATACCCGCCCCCTCCCCTCCTCCCTGCCCAATACCCTATTACTGCAGTACCGTTGTGACCACTTAGTTGCTGTTCATTAATACATTTGCTGGTGAGTATATGTGGTACTTGTTTTTCCATTCTTGGGAAACTTCACTTAATAGTATGGGTTCCAGCTCTAACCAGGAAAATATAAGATGTGCTATATTACCATTGTTTCTTAGAGCTGAATAGTACTCCATGGTATACATATACCACATTTTATTAATCCATTCTTGGATTGATGGGCACTTGGGCTGTTTCCACAGCCTTGCAATTATGAATCGTGCTGCTATAAACATTCGAGTGCAGGTGTCTTTTTTGTAGAGTGTCATTGGATCTTTTGGTAGATGCCCAGAATGGGATTGCTGGATCAAATGGTAGATTCACTTGTATTGCTTTAAGGTATCTCCATATTGCTTTCCACAGAGGTTGAACTAATTTGCAGTCCCACCAGCAGTGTAGGAGTATAGAATATTTATTCCATCTTGATTTCTTCATTTATGAGTATCATTTAGTAGGGGGTTATTTAATTCCACGTTTTGTGTAGAAATGTGAGTTTCTGTTAGGGTTGATTTCTACTTTTATTCCACTGTGATCTGAGAAGGTACATTGTATGATTTCTATTTTTTTAAATTTCTTGAGATTTACTTTGTGTCCTAGGATATGGTCAATCTTAGAGAATGTCCTGTGAGCTGATGAGAAGAACGTATATTCAGTGGATTTGGGTAGAATGTCCTGTAGATGTCAGTCAGACCCAGTTGTTCCAGGGTTTGTTTAAGTCCATTATTTCTTTATTAATTTTCTGTTGGAGGATCTGTCTTGTGCCGTCAGTGGGGTGTTGAAATCTCCAGTGATTATGGAGTTGCTATTAATCCATTTGCTTAGCTCCAGTAAGGTTTGCTTTATGAATCTGGGTGCACCTAAGTCAGATGCATATATATTTAAAATTGTTATCTCTTCTTGTTGAAGTGTGCCTTCACCATTATATAATGACCCTCTTTGTCTTTCACTACTTTTGTTGGTTTAAAAACTAAATCATCTGAAATTAGAACTGCCACGCCAGCCTTCTTTTGGCTTCCACTTGCCTGGAATACTGATCTCCACCCTTTTACTTTTAGTCTATATGCATCCTTGCAGGTTAGATGTGTTTCCTGAAGACAGCATATACTTGGCCTGTATTTTCTTATCCATTCAGCCAGCCTATGTCTCTGAGTGGAGAGTTTAAGCCATTCACATTTATTGAGAGAACTGATAGATAAGGTAGATTACTGTCCATTCTGTTGGGTTGGATGTTGTTGCTTTGATTCTCTCCTTGAGCCATTGTAATATCTGGCCTTTAATCTTTGGGTTTGGTTGTTTTTATATTCGTGAGTTTTATTATGGTGTTCCATGCGTAAACTGTTTTGAGTACTTCTTGTAGGGCTGGTCTTGTCTTGGTGAATTCTCTGAGACTTTGCTTGTCTGAGAATGTCTTTATTTCTCCTTCATATATGAAGCTTAGTTTTGCAGGGAATAAGATTCTAGGGTGGGCATTGTTTTGTTTCAGAAGAGTGAGAATGGGCCCCAGTCTCTCCTTGCTTTGTAAAGTCTCATTAGCGAAGTCTGGTGTTATTCGAATTGGCTTTCCTTGTATGTCACTTGCTTCTTTTGTTCTTACAGCTCTTAGAAGGCCTCTTTAGTTGATATTTTGGTCAGTCTGATGACTGCATGTCGTGACGTCTCCTGTTTGCAATGAATCTCCCAGGGGTCCTCTGAACTTCTTGAACTTGTATATCGAGATTTTGAGCAAGGCCTGGGAAATTTTCCTCTATTATATCTTCAAATAGCTTGTCCAATCTTTGGATGTTGTCCTCTTCCCCTTCTGGTAACCCTATGACCCTCACATTAGGTTTCTTCACATAATCCCACATCTCTTGTAGGCTTTGCTCTTTTCTCTTGTTTCTCTGCTCTATCTCTGTGATGGTTTTATTTAGTTGGAGGGTGTTATCTTCAATCTCTGAGATTCTTTCTTCTGTTTGATCTACCCTGTTCTTGAGACTTTCCACCGTATTTTGTAGTTCCCTGAATTGATTCTTCATTTCCAGGAGTTCGGTTAAACTTTTCTTCATTGTGTCTATTTCTTTAGTGAACATTTCCTCTAGGTCCTGGAGGCTTTTTGGGTTTCTTTGTGTTGGTTATTGAGTTGTTGTTGCAGGTTGGTGAGTGTTCTTATGATCCACATACGAAATTCCTCTTCTGTCATTTTGGTTGCCTGATTTGGGTTGGTGTCCGTTTCTAGGGGCTGGTGCTCCTCTTTGGGGGTGTTTTTGTTTGATTCTTCATATTTCCTGAGTTCCTTCGCTGATTTCTTCCCATGTCGATCAGTTGTTGTTTCTTTCCTTTAGGTTTTTGTTTGGGTATTCACACGCCTTGTTTAGTTTCTGAGCCGTTAGGTGGTATCTGTGGGTGAGATTTGACCACTCCCCTTGCCGCTGGTCTCCGAGCTGTTCCGGCGGTCTCAGCTTTCAGTTCTCCTCCACAGCCTCCTCACGTGGAGTCTCCCGGGGTCTCAGGTACCCCTCCTTCCGGCCCTCGTCCGCTGTATGCTCACCTTCTTGCTTCTTTTTTCTAATTTCTGCTAGAATCTGTCTTTTCTGCAGAGACACTCTGTCTGACGGTGTTTCTCGTCCGCCATCTCGATCCTCCTCTTTAATCTACTTTTATATTACCATAGCAACTCTAGTTTTCTATTTGTCCCATCTTTTTTTTTAATTTTTAAAAATTTTTTTGGCCAGGCACGGTGGCTCATGCCTATAATCCTAGCACTCTGGGAGGCAAGGTGGGAGATTGCTTGAGCTTAGGAGTTAGAGACCAGCCTGAGCAAGAGCAAGACCCCGTCTTTACTATAAATAGAAAGAAATTAATTGGCCAACTAATATATATATATAGAAAAAAATTAGCCGGCATGGTGGCGCATGCCTGTAGTCCCAGCTACTCGGGAGGCTGAGGCAGGAGGATCGCTTGAGCCTAGGAGTTTGAGGTTGCTGTGAGCTAGGCTGACGCCACGGCACTCTAGCCTGGGCAACAGAGTGAGACTCTTGTCTCTAAATAAATAAAAAATTTTTTTTTTATGTTTTCAGTCTTGCTCTGTCACCTAGGCTAGAGTGCAGTGGCATCATCATAGCTCACTGCAGCCTTGAACTCCTGGGCTGAAGTGATCCTCCCACCTCGGCCTCCCAGAGTGCTGGGATTTACAGGCATGAACCACTGTGCCTAGCCGTATGTTAGTGTTTTTGATAACTAACATTTCCCTCCAATTCTTTCTTAGAGTTTCCATCTCTCTGCTTAACATTATTCACCCGTTCTTGCATGTTGTCTGTTTTCCCCATTAGCGCTCTTAGCATATTAATAATTCTTATTTAAAATGCACAGTCTGGCCAGGCGCGGTGGCTCACGCCTGTAATCCTAGCTCTCTGGGAGGCCGAGGCGGGGGGATTGCTCGAGGTCAGGAGTTCGAAACCAGCCTGAGCAAGAGTGAGACCCCGTCTCTACTATAAATAGACAGAAATTAATTGGCCAACTAATATATATATACAAAAAATTAGCCGGGCATGGTGGCGAATGCCTGTAGTCCCAGCTACTTGGGAGGCTGAGGCAGGAGGATTGCTTGAGCCAGGAGTTTGAGGTTGCTGTGAGCTAGACTGACGCCACGGCACTCACTCTAGCCTGGGCAATAAAGTGAAACTCTGTCTCAATCAATCAATCAATCAATCAATAAATAAAATGCACAGTCTGATAATTCTAGAATCTGTGCCATATCTAAGCCCAGGTATGACGCTTGCCCTGGCTCTCCAGACTGTGTTTTATTTTATTTCCATTTAGCATGTCTTGTGATTTTCATCATTGTTGTTGAAAACCACACGTGATAATATAGTTGGGTATTTCTCCAGGGAAATAGCTCTATTTCCTTGGGTGTCAGTTCTAAGCACAGCCTCTGTCTTGTGATGTTTCTGTTCTGCCGCTTCCTTGCGTGTGTGACTTTCTTAGAATTCCCTGGAGTGTGCCCCGGGCTGGCAGCTGATTCCAGCCCGAGTGGGAGCCGTGCGCGTGGCTACTCACCCCACCAGAGCCCCCACGCCCTGCTCTCCCAGCGTGTCTGTGGGATTATCTCACCTCTTCTACGCATCGGGTGCCAGATGGGGTTTAACATGCGCCCTTTGAACCAGGAGTCTGTCTCCCAAGTGGTTGTGGCAAATCCATTGTGCAGGTCCCGTGGGCCCAGGTGTCCCCTGACCCTGTACATAGCAGCTGGTCTCAGCCCTTTCCCCTCCCTTATAGGCACCTCAGGGTGATTGCAGGCAGCTGGGCCCTGTCCTTGGGCTGACGACAGGCCTGCCCAGGGAACCCCACGCTTCTCACTTAAGGTGTACATTTTTCAAAATGAAAGAAAAGAAAGCCCCGAGCTTTGTCATGGCGGGTTTTGATGCTTCCCGAACCTTCACTATGAAGCCAGGGTGAGGATCCTTTTAGCTCAGGCACTGTGGACACCTCGGTGCTGCGCAGCTGCTCCTGGCCTGCGGGGGCGTCCTGAACCCTGCAGGGTGCTACGTCTCCCCCCAGCCTCCACCCACTCCGCGCCAGGAGCGCGGCTCCCCAGCTGCTCCCAGACACCCCCAGGTGACAGCCACTGCTTTAGGGAACCGATTTTATTCTTTTCGGTTTAAAGCACCTCCCCCGGGAGAGGCATGCCGCTTAACGCCAGGTCCCCTTGCTGGGACTCGTTTCCCTCCCGCTAGGAATCAGCTCCTTCACAAGGAGGGACAGAGAGGGGGATCGTGGCCCCTTTCACCGAGATTGGAGCCCACTCGTGGGGTCCCCTCCCGGCTGCCGCTATTAGTTCTCGTAAAACTTCTCGATCTCAGCCTGGTACATCTTGTACACGATGCCCCGCTTCACCTTCGTGGTCACCCCTGCAAGAGAAGCAAGTCCGCAGTGGGGCCTTCCCACCCCCCACTCCTGGGAGGTCCCCATACGGCAGCTGGTAGCCCCCGCCACCCAACAGGATGAGGTGTCGAGGCGTCAGAGGGCCGAGTCCATTGTAGGGACGCAGAAATGGGGACAGGGCACAGGGCAGCAGGACGCTTTGGGTGGCTAGCAGAGGGACTGGGTGCTGGAAGCCCATCCCAGAGCACCCTGAGAATTCCCACATGTGAGACCGCAGACGCCAGGCCAGGCACAATGGCTCACGCCTGTGATCTTAGCACCCTGGGGGGCTGAAGCCAGACAACTGCTTGAGGCCAGCCTGGGCAACATAGTGAGACCCCATCTCTATAAAAATTTTTTTATAAACTAGCCGGGTATGGTGGTACAAGCATGTAGTCCCAGCTACTCGGGAGGCTGAGGCAGCAGGATCGCTTGAGGCCAGTAGTGTGAGGTTGCTGTGAGCTAGGCTGCCACCACGGCACTCTAGCCCAGGCAACAGAATGAGACTCTGTCTCAGAAAAAAGAAAAAAGACTTAAACATGTCTCGCTGAATGGCACAGGCAAGACCACGTGGCCACGGCCTGCCAGCCCATGCCACCCACGCTCAGCTTCAGCCCAGGGCTGCCGGATGCCACTTACGATCCGGGACCCCGCCCAGGCAGCTCACCGAGCTCCCCGGCACCGATGGAGAAGTCCGTGTCGAGGATGGTCCACTTGACGATCCTGGCGCTCTCCGACCTGGCTTCTCTGTTGATGACGTCGATGGCCTGATCGACGTACTCCATGACGATGGAGTCCTGGTTGTTGATGATGTCCGACAGCCTGGTGGAGTGGCTCTTGAGATTCCGGCAGAAATCCACGGCCTCCTCGGTCAGCGCGTCCCGCGGCTCTCCTGTCTCCACGTTGACCTGGCACTGCCAGAGGGGACAGGGTCCGGGCGCTCTCAATCCATGTGCCACTCACACCTCCGCCCCCGAGGGCCGGGGGGGCCCCTGTCCCCCGAACCTCAGCATCCTTATCTTACGACACGCCAGCAGCCCACCCAACTGGCTTCCATGCCAGTGTCACGGGGCCCAAGGACAGCCCCCAGGCACCTTCAGTGTGAGCAGGGCGCACAGGTACGGCATATCCTGGCCCACCAGGACCACGTAATGCACGATGGGAATGAACATCTTCACCTGCTCCTCGATGGGGCCCGGGTTGATCTTCTCCCCAGAACTGAGCGTGATGATATCTATGTGTGGAAAGGGAGGGGGCATTCGTCTTTGTAAAGCTACCCCAAGTTGAGTGTCGTGGAAGCCTGGGTGGGGGTCTGGGGTGGGGAAACTGTCCCAAAGCAGCCCCAGCTTGCAAGGGGCCCTCTGCGTGCAGACATCAAAGATGCATCCCAGGCATACAAAGGACACCCCCTTCCTCCAAGCTGGATGTCAGCCCTCATATCAAACTTGTGCTGTGTGCAACCTGCACCACTGTCCATGGCAGCCCTGCCTTGCTCACCATTCACATTGCCTGCGATGTGCAGGAAGTTATCGGCATCCAAGAAGCCCAGGTCCCCTGTGTGCATCCAGCCTAGGGAGTCAATCTTATCCTTCGTTGCTTCCTTGTTGTTGAGATAACCCATGAAGACGTTCCGGCCCCAAATGCAGATGTCCCCGATGCCATCCTTATCTCCCTCGAGCACCTTGGTGTTGGTGTCCCGGAACGGCTTCCCGCAGCTGTGGGGAGTGGGCAGGAAGAGGGAGCGTTAGACATGGGCGGATACCATCCCCCATCATAGTAGGGACTCCTGTCCCCTGCTCACAGCCCCTCTTCCTCTTATCCACAAAACCACTCAGATCCTAAGTCTTTTCTGTCTTGCTTTCGGCTCCTAGAGTCCCACGAATCCAAAGTGGGGGCAGATGGAGAAGGAAATAGGGTGTAGACCTGCAGAGTGGAAGGAAAGCAACCTGGCCCAGCCCAGCTCTGAGCCAAGCCTGAGGGGCACATGGAGGCTTCACACCCAGCCCGTCCCCCAGGAACCGAAACAGCAGCCCAAGTGACAAGGCAAGACGTGCATAGACCAGGTGTGGTGGTTCACACCTATAATCCCAGCACTCTGGGAGGCCAAGGCAGGAGGATTGCTTGAGCCCAGGAATTTGAGACCAGCCTGGGCAACATAGCAAGACCCCATCTTTACAAAAAAATTAAATATTAGCCAAGTGTGGTGGTGTGCGCCTGTAGTCCCAGATACTCGGGAGGCTGAGGCAAGAGGATCTTTTGAGCCCAGGAGTTGGAGGCTGCAGTGAGCTATGATGATATCACTGCTCTGCAGCCTGGATGACAGAGTGAGACTTTGTCTCCAAAAAAATAAATAAATAAACTCAACTTTGGATAGATATAGTTGCTGATGAAGGTTTCCAGGCAGGGAAGAGAAAACAGTTAATATAGTCCAGGCAAGAATGAGGGCTTCCACCACCCGGTTTCTCTCTTTGGAAACTGGAGGGCTAGTGCTTCAGCTTCTCCAAGTCTGAGGTTCCTACCAGGGTACCTGGACACCATCCTCTGTCCTCTTTCTCCCCAGGCTGTCTGGAGACTCAGGGCAGCTTTGAAACTGGTCCCGGCCAACACTTGGGACACACACTGCTATGGAAAGAATTGTATCCCATCCCCCAGGCTAGGTTGAAGCTCTAACCACCACGCCCCACCCAAGGTGACGGTATTTGGAGGTGGGGCCTTTAGGAGGTAATTAAGGTTGGATAAGTTCATGAGGGTGGGGCCCCCATGACGGGATTAGTGCCCTTACGAGAAGAAACCCCAGAGAGCTTGCTCTGTCCCCACTATGTGAGGACACGGCACAAAGGCACTGTCCGCAAAGCCAGGAGGAAAGCCCTCACCAGGAACCAAACCATCCCAGTGCCTGGATCTTGGACTTCCAGCCTCCAGAACTGTGAGAAAATAAATCTGCCCCCAAGAACTAATCACCTCCCAAAGGGCCCACCTCCTAATACCATCACCTGGGGAGTTAAGATTTCACAATGAGGCCGGGCGCAGTGGCTCACGCCTGTAATCCTAGCACTCTGGGAGGCCAAGGCGGGCGGATTGCTCAAGGTCAGTTCGAAATCAGCCCAAGCAAGAGTGAGACCCCGTCTCTACTATAAATAGAAAGAAATTAATTGGCCGACTAATATATATAGAAAAAATTAGCCGGGCATAGTGGCGCATGCCTGTAGTCCCAGCTGCTCGGGAGGCTGAGGCAGGAGGATCGCTTGAGCCCAGGAGTTTGAGGTTGCTGTGAGCTAGGCTGACGCCACGGCACTCACTCTAGCCTGGGCAACAGAGTGAGACTCTGTCTCAAAAAAAAAAAGATTTCACAATGAACTTTAGGGGGACATAAACATTCAGACCATAGCAGCCCCTGAACCTCTTATTAAAGAAGTTATTAATTTTTTTAGAGACAGGGTCTCACTCTGTCCCCCAGGCTGGAGTGCAGTGGTGTGATCATAGCTCACTGCAGCCTCCAACTCCTAGGCTCAAGCGATCCTCCCTCCTTGGCCTCCCGAGTAGTTGAGACTACAGGCATGGGCCACGGCGTCGGGCCATGAATTGTTGTTTTATGTTCCTAAATTTGAAGGTGACTTTCACAAAGCAATAGACACACTCATATACAGTGCTTCTCGCCTGAGACACCAGGGTGTCAGAAATGATTCGCCGTTAGTGAGGACAGCAGTTTGCAAATCAAAATACAAATTGGAAAGGGCTTGAACTCATCCCCCGCAGGTCCACTCGCCCCTTTGTCTTTGGACCTGCGCTCCTTGGTGGGGGACAGCCAAGCAGGGTGACAGCGTTCACTAGGGACCGCACGTGCCCTCGCGGCAGCCAGGCGAGGAGAAGGGGCGGTCCAAGCTCGGCCCTCGCCGCCCTCTCCGTCTGCCGTCCCTGCGCCGGGCCCCACCTGAGCAGCTGGAAGGCCCGGTGGCTGGACACAGAGTGGACGCCGGTGCACTCGGTCTGGCCGTAGAACTCGAAGATGGGGATGTTGAGGCTGAGGAAGAACTCCAGGGTGGCCCTGGGGAGCCCCAGCCCCAAGTTGAAGAACTGCCGGCAGTGTTCCAGGCCGAAGAACTTCCTGGTCCGGTCGAAGGTCAATGTCTTGGCCAGGCCAAAGCCCAGCGGAAGCTGCCTCTGCCTTGGGGAGCAGACACGCGCAGCAGAGCTCGGCCTCAGGACGCCCCGGCCGGCCCGGCAGCCCCCGGCGCAGGCGGCCCCCGCGCCCCAGCCTCACCCAAACATCTGCTTCAAGTTGGTCTTGAGCCCCAGCACCATGGCCCAGTTGTCGAACTTCCTCCGAAACATGGTGGCACCCAGGTGTCTGGCCTTGAGGCTGTCGGCCATCTGGTCCCAGATCCCTGGGACACCGTAGAACGTGGTGGGCCTCACCTCCCGCAGCGTGTCAATCAGAGTGCCCTGCGCGGACGGGTCGGGGGGTCCTCAGCCGCGCCCTACCACCCCGGCCCCCTGCCAGACTGGACAGAGCTGCCCACGGCCGCCCCCACCCCCTGCCCCTGGTGTTTGAAATCCCAGGCCGGGGGCCAGGTCATGAGTGACGCAGCGAGGGGGTTACGGGGGCCACCAGAGCTCGGGCGGGGACCACCCTGCTCAGGCAGGCGTGGCAGAGTCCCTGGCACCACTTGACTCTGCCTCTGTGGATCTGATGACTCCAGGGACCTCCTGTGAGTGGAGCCACACACTGTGTGTCCTTCTGTGTCTGGCGTCTCTCACTGAGCACAACGTCCTCGAGGTCCATCTATGTCGGAGCAGGTGTCAAAATCTCCTTCCTTTTCACGGCTGAGTAATATTCCACTGCACGGATGGCCCCCGTTGTTTATCCAGTCACCCACTGAAGGACACTCACGTACTTTCAATGGCTCCATTTAGCTTCCTGTACTTGTGGTGTTTGTGCCCGAGGAGGGGTGGGGTGGGTGCCTCCCATTCCCCATAACCTTAGCTTTCATCTGTTCCCCACTTTTCTTTTCTCAGATGGGGAAACTGAGGCCCAGAGATGGGGAAGTACCAACTGGGGCTGGGGTGGGGGGGATTCCCAATGCGGACTGAGCCCCCCACTCAGGGAAGCCCCTCACCCACCGCCCTCCCCGCCACCACCTCGCCCGTGCCCACCCCGCAGGGGCCGAGGGGCTCCGCTCACCTTCACAGCATCCGGCTGGGCGAAGTAGAGCGCCCCAGCCACCGAGATGGCGACCCACATGTCGAAAATCTGAGACCCGATGTAGCTGAGCGGCAGGTAGCTCACCAAGGTCTCTTGCGCCTCTGGCGGACGCTTAAAAGAAAGGCTCTGAACGGTGGCCGCCGTGGTCCAGGTGATCTGAAAGGCACCTTACCTGTCAGCCACCTGGGGGCCGACCGGCTGCTCTCAGTTCCCAGAAGCAGCTGCCCGAGCGGCCGGCTGGGGACCGAGCTGGGGACCCAGCCCTCACTCACGTTGTCATGGCTCAGCATCACGGCTTTGGGGGGGCCCATGGACGTCAAGCTGAAGACCAAGGTGCAGCACTGGTTGGGCTTTTGGGAGTCGATGATCTTGTCTAGCCTCTCGTCCGAGATGTCGTGTGAGAGGTCCAGGAACCGTTGCCACTGCAGACAGGCCCCGGGAAAGCCCCCGGGTCCCCCTCAACCCAGCTGCCTCTCCTGGAGCTCTTGGCCTGACCCAGCACGGAGCTTGCCCCCCGGCCCCCCACCTGTCCTCTCCCTGGCTGCGGCGTACCGAGTACAGGTTCCTCTGCTCCGACTGGATCACCTCCTTGTACTGCACGATGCCTTTGAGATGCTTCAAGTAGCCCTGGATCTGCAAGACACCAACGGCTCAGCCTCAGGGTTTGCGGGCGCAAAGGCAGGTGACGCCCCAGCCCACAACCATCACCACTATCTACTTCCAGAACATTCCATCCATCCCCCTAAAAGGAAACCTTGTACCCATTAGCAGTCCTTCCCCTCCCCTAGCCCCTGGCAACCACGAATCTGCTCTCTTTTTTGTGGATTTACGTATTCTGATGATTTCCTGTAAGTAGAATCACAGTCTGTGGCCTTTTGTGTCTAGTTCATTTCACTGAGCAACTTTAGAAAATCCACTTGGAAGACTGGGTGAGAGCTTCATTCTTTTTTATAGCTGAATAATGCTCCACGGCGTGGGCACACCACATTTTGCTTATCCATTTGTCCGCTGATGAACATCTGGGTTGTTTCCACTTACGGGCGATTGTGATTAATGCTGCCGTGAATATTTGTGTAGCAGGATTTTGTTGGGATTCCTGTTTTTAATTCTCTCTAGGAGTGTTATGGCTGGGTTCTGTGGTCTTTCTAGGTTTAACTTTTTGAGGAACCGCCAGACTCCTTTCCACGGCGGCTGCACCGTGGTTCACGCCCACCAGCCACGCACAAAGGTTCCAGTGTTTCCACGTCCTTGACAACACTTGCTATTATCTGCCTCTTTGATTCTAGCCATCCCACTGCGTGGGAAGTGGGATCTCGTGGAAGTCTGGATTTGCATTTCCCTGGAGACGAATGACGTTGGACATCTTCCCACATGTTCATTGGCCATTTGGATATCTCCTTTGGAGACGTGTCTATGCAACCCTTTGCTCATTTTTAAATTGGGTTGTTTGTCTTTTTGTGGTTTGTTCCCCAATTGTTTTTTAATCTAGCTGTCCACGTGTAAAAATCGGGGAGATGTCATGTTCACGTCCAGAGTTTTCTTGGGAAAAAAGTGACCCAAAAATGTTTTAAAAGTATGACTCAAGCCAGGCTCAGCGGCTCATGCCTGTAATCCTAGCACTCTGGGAGGCTGAGGTGGAAGGATCGTTTGGGGCCAGAAGCTTGAGCAAGAGCGAGACCCCATCTCTACAAAATATAGAAAAATTAGCCAGGTGTGGTGGTATGTGCCTATAGTCCCAGCTACTTGGGAGGCTGAGGCAGGAGGATCGCTTAAGGCCAGGAGTTTGAGGCTGCAGTGAGCTACGATGACACCATTGCACTCCAGCCTGGGTGACAGAGCAAGACCCTATCTCCCCAAATTTTATTTATATCCCCAGGACTAGGTGGGAACCCCGTTCCTCCCAGCTAAATGCTCCCAGCCCTCTACCCACTGTCATTTTGTTTGAATATCTGTCTGTCCAGCTCCAGCAAACTGGATGACCCCCAAACAGTGAGAAGGGAAACAAAGATCCTGTGGACACCATGCCCTCGAAAAAGGCTCGCAGTGCCCAGAAGAGTGCTGAGCGCTCAGAAACCACCACAGGTAGGGGCTCCTTGGGCCCTGGGTGTGGCTGGTGGTGTTCCCGCAGAGACCGGTTAGAGGGTGAGGGTCTGGCCACGGGCGGCTCAGGCGGGGTTGGGATGTCCCTTTAGAAAAGACTCCACTGAGGGAGCCTGGGGGAGGGCACTGTCCCTCTGCGAGGACGCTGGCCTGCGTGCACAGGGTGGCAGGTGGCCAGCAGGTGCCTGGTCTCCGGGAGGGGTTCACGGGAGGGACCCTGGGCCCGCAGCTTAGCTGTGTGCCCGCTGGAAGGTTATATATATATATCATATATATATGATTCTGTGGCACCCTTGGGCATCGTGGGCTAGCTCTGACAGTGGCACATGGCGCTCATTCACGCATTCCCCAGTTACTCAGCGAGCACCTACTGTGTGCCGGGCTCTGCTCTGGGCGCTGGAGCCCCAGCGGTGAGCAATCAGACAATACTCCCTGCCTTCGTGGAGTGTATGTCCTTGAGGGTGGGCAGCTCAACAGATGGTAATGGAAATGGATAAGCAAATGTTAGAATCAGCTAGCATAGGGTTCAGTGTGACAGAGAGAAATGAAAAGGGGAATCGGGATAGCTTGGGGGCAGGGTTGAAGGTGGCACTTTTAGAGAGGGTGCTCCAGAACATTCCCAAGGGCATGATGACATTTAAGCAAAGACCGGAGGGAGGTGAGGGAGTGAGCAATGGAGGTATCTGGAGGAAGAGTGTTCCAGGCAGAGGGCACAGCCTGTGCAAAAGTCCTGGGGCAGGACCACGCCTTTGCCTAAACCATCCCCTTCCCACCAGGCCCTCCTGGCTACCAAAGGCTGGAGTGTCACTGACCTGCATGACCTTTTGCAGCTGCTTGTCATTATCCACCACAATGACGTTCATCTTTGAGTTTTCGGCAATGATCTGGCAGGCTTTTGGGGTGTTGGTGGACAATATGCCAACAGAGAAGCCTCTGGAAGCAGAATGCAGGAGGCGAGGGCTTGCTGGGTGAGTCCTTCAGGGAACTGCAAAGTTCCTGGGAGTCCCCGACACCCACCTCCTGTTTGAACGGGGGACTCAGGGACAGCCCTGGCCTGGGCCCTGCCCTCATCAAGGGGTTCCCCAATGTTCTGGATGGGTGGAGGAAGGGCTCAGCACTAGACAGCCCTGGTAAGTGTCGAAGGCTCTCTGCAGGAGGGGCTATGGGAGCTGGGCTTCTCAGGATGTATATGAGTTCGCCAGTTAGAGAATGCAGGGAAGGGTAATCTGGGCTATGCTTAGGACTGGGCTGTTGACAAACACCACTGAGCACAGACGCAAGTGGAGCTGTGGTCAGAGCTCCCTGTCCCGGGGACTCTCTCCCATGACACCCCGACCGTCTCGAGGGAAGGTGGGCTCGCGGCCTCGATGCACTCCGGGGAGAGCCCTTACCCTGCCATGATGGCGCCAATGTTGGCGATGGCCCACTCCTCCGAGTTCAGTCCCATGATGCCCACGCCGTGGAAGCGCTCCAGCCCCAGCTGGGGGGAGGCGAGGCCTTCGTGAGGCCCCAGAGGCTCGGCCGCCACCACCCCCAGCCTGCCCGGGAGCCTCGGCCTTGCGCTCCCTTTCCTCTGTTGACCGTTCATCCTTTGCCCCCCCTCTGATGAAATAACCCATCCTCCTATTACGAGCCACCATATATTTATCTAGAGCAGGGCTTCCCGGCCTGGCGGTAATTCTGTCGCGCCGAGACCCTTGCCACCCCTGGCGCCATTTCGGGCTGTCTCGGATTGGAGGAGGGGATGCCGGCGGCGGCGTGGGCGGGGCCTGGAGCTGCGCACGCAGAACGCGAGAGGAGCACGAGCGTAGGAGGGGGCGGGGTTTCAGAGCGGTGCTCAAGCGCAGGAGGCGGTGCCCAGAACGGCGCGCAGGCGCAGAAGCAGGGAAGGGTAGCGTGTTGCGCAGGCGCACGGAAGGGCAAGAGGCGCGCAGGCGCAGACCGCCTCGAGGTACCTTGAGGAAGGCTTTGGCGGCCTGCCGACATTGCTCGTAGTACTCGATGTAGGTGAGCAGGTGCCAGGTGTTCTTGTACTTGGAGCCGAGCGCGATGTAGTTGGTGAACCTGGTGGCCGTATCTATGACCATGTCGTGCACGGTGAGTGGCGTCCGGTCGTAGAACGCGTCCTCCAGCTTCCGCAGCCGCACCTCCCCGTTGCGCCTCGACGTCCAGTAGTTGACTGTGGGCAGGCGACGCCCGGGCGGGCGGAGAGGGAGGGGAAGAGGGGAGGAGGGGTAGGGAGACGCAGAAAAGGATTCAGAGCCAGGCGGACAGTCAGCCGCGCTGGCTTAGAGAAGGTTCGGGAGGAAACCTTCCAGCGGGCACACAGCTAAGCTGCGGGCCCAGGGTCCCTCCCGTGAACCCCTCCCGGAGACCAGGCACCTGCTGGCCACCTGCCACCCTGTGCACGCAGGCCAGCGGCCTCGCAGAGGGACAGTGCCCTCTCCCAGGCTCCCTCAGTGGAGTCTTTTCTAAAGGGACATCCTAACCCCGCCTGAGCCGCCCGTGGCCAGACCCTCACCCTCTAACCGGTCTCTGTGGGAACACCACCAGCCACACCCAGGGCCCAAGGAGCCCCTACCTGTGGTGGTTTCTGAGCGCTCAGCACTCTTCTGGGCACTGCGAGCCTTTTTCGAGGGCATGGTGTCCACAGGATCTTTGTTTCCCTTCTCACTGTTTGGGGGTCATCCAGTTTGCTGGAGCTGGACAGACAGATATTCAAACAAAATGACAGTGGGTAGAGGGCTGGGAGCATTTAGCTGGGAGGAACGGGGTTCCCACCTAGTCCTGGGGATAGCCTGGGAAGGCGTCTCTGAACAAGGGATAGAAGTTGACCAGGCAAAGAAGAGAGGGAGAAGCATAGAAGGAAATGAAACAAAGGTGATAAGAAAGAATTGTTTTCTGGACGGGGTGCAGTGGCTCACGCCTGTGATCCCAGCACTCTGGGAGGCCAGGGTGGGAGGATTGCTTGAGCTCAGGAGTTTGAGACCAGCTTGAGCAAGAGTGAGACCCGGTATCTCCTAAAAATAGAAAAACTAGCCAGGCATGGTGGTGAGCCCCTGTAGTCCCAGATTCTCAGGAGGCTGAGGCAGGAGGATTGCTTCAGCCCAAGAGTTTGAGGTTGCTGTGAACTAGGCTGATGCCACGGCACTCTAGCTCAGGCAACAGAGCAAGACTCTGTCTCAAAAAAAAAAAAAAAAAAAAGAATTGTTTTCTGGTACTTTCCATGCCCATCCCCCACCGGGTGTGCAGCCTGGTTCATCCCTGGGAGAAGCTGAAATATCTGGGGGTCCCCCACACCCTTCCTCCCACCCACAACACATTTTCACCCCTCTCGGTCATTGGGAGGACAGTGCCCAGTCCTAGCTCCAGCTTCTTTTTATCAGCTTTGTTACTGCTCCCATTCTAGCCACGGGGACAGTGGACTCCCGATTGGACATCCAGAATGTTCTTGCCGGTGATCAGCTCTGTGACATCACTGGATTCTGCAGCCCAGAGTCATCCTGGGGACACAGCCCTCTTTCCCTTTGAGGAGGCTTGTTTTGCAGGACAAGGAGGGGGTCCACCCAAGAAAGTTGTTCACTAACCCCACAAACCAGTGGTTTTCAAGGTGACAGTCCAGGGAGGAGATGGGGGCAAAGTCTTGGGATTAAATCTGGCAGCTGAAGGGACTCCAGAGTCACTGCATTATTGGCTTTGAGTGACAGTTCACAAGGGAGCCTGAAGAAGAGTTTCGGAGTGGAGGAGGCAAATGAAGGCGAGGCCTCACAGGGGCCAAGGGAGCAGAGCCCAGGGCTCCCAAAAGGTCAAGTTAGAGAAGGACTTTGAGTCACTGTAACTGAGGGTTTATGAACTAATTCGCCCCACCCCCAGGCATGGTCTGTTCATAGAATAGTCTCCCAACTGTGTCTATAGTGACATTTTCAAATATTGTTGGATGTTGTTGAGATCGATGAACTAAGAAATCATTTAAAAGCCTTTCTGGTTTTTCACACATACAAAAAATAGAATGACCATGTTATCTAGCAGTTCCACTTCTGCGTTCGTGTATGCCTAAAGGAGCTGAAAGCAGGGGCTTGAAGAGATACTAATATTTGTACACCCATATTCATAGTGGTGGAAGCAACCCAAGTGCCCAGGCCCCTTGACGGATGGATAAATGAAATGTGAGAGACACATGTGAGATACAATATTCCGCCTGAGAAAGGAAGGAAATTCTGACACGTTACAACGTGGACGAAGCTTGAAGACATTATGCTAAGTGAAATAAGCCAGTCACAGAAAGACAAATACTTTATGATTCCATTTGTAAGGTGGAGAAGTAGTAAAATTCAAGAGACAGACAGTAGAATGGTGGTTGTCAGGGAAGGAAGAAATGGGGAGTTATTTAATGGGTACAGAGTTGCAGTTTGGAAACAAGAAAAGTTCTGGAGATACATGGTGGTGATGGTTGCACAACACTGAATGTACCTAATGCCATTCAAGTGTGTAGTAAAAAGTGGCTAAAATGACAAATTTTATGTATATGTTACCACAATTTGAAAAATAAAATTAAAAAGCCTCTCTGTAGTATCTTGTTGTCGTTTCTCAAAGAACAGCTATTAAGAGAACAGTGAGGTCAGGGTGAGAATCATTGTAGGAAACACATAGATTCATCTGTTAAGGTTGAACTTTTTTTTTTTTTTTTTTTGCTTGACAGTATAATTGACCATTTGTATTTCCTTGATGAGGAATCAGTATTGAAAAGGAAGTGAAGAAATACTTGCAAAAGATACGCTCATCTATGCAAAAAGCCTAGACTTTTTAAAACTAGGTCGGCAGTGAAGTGTCTAGATATAATATTAACATACAAAAATCAATAGCATTCCCATGTACCAATATTAACCACTTAAAAACTTTTTGAAAAGGGAGAAAATCACACCCACAATAGAAACAATCTATGAAATAGAATTACATTGACCAAAATTGTTCAAGATAGTTACAGATAAAATTATAAAGATTTGCTAAAAATAATACAAATTAGGAAAACGTGTTAGTAAATATACCTCGAAAAGGACACATGTTCACAGCGTGAGAGCTGAGACAAGATGACGGACGGTGTTGCCTTGCTCAGCCTCAGCTGGGAATGCACACGTTGGCCATTCAAATTTTTCACTGTTTTGTACATATCTGGGAGTGACCTCAAAAGCACCATGATTATTGATTTGGGGGTTACAGATATTAGCAAGCAGGTGAATTGGCAAATACAGAATCAGCAAATAATGAAAACTGACTGTACTTAAATATCAAAAAATAAAAGCCCACCAAATGTTTGCGGAGGGCCATCACACATGACACTAGCTTTATATGTATTGCGTTGAATTGTTTCTGCAAGGAGAATGCCTTTCTACCATTGTGGTATATTTATTATAATTTTATGTTTTAAAAATGAAACTCAGAAGGGGCTCTGGGCTGTGTCTTGGTGTCTAGAATCTTGAGGGACACTGAGAGTTTTGTTTCTCCTGTTCTGATGCACTGTCCATCTCTGGGCTGGGAGAGGTTTCCTCCCCCCACCCTCCCCTTCCCACCCACTAGTACTCTTCCAGGACAAACTGTGGATATGCCGTTTCAGCTTTGGTCGGCTTATAATGTACTGTTGCCCGGGAGAGGAGTAAACTGTCTTAGGTTGCTGTTATTTTGGACTTTGCAACAACAGCGAAACTCATCCCTAATGATGGAATTGGTCGAGAGTCATACCTTGACTTTTGAGTGAGCCAAGACCGACTGTGATGATAACCATGAGCTCGTAACAAGGGTTTTCTGGAGTTGGACACTATGTTTTATGTTGTACGTTGTACAACGTGAGTTGTACGTTTTCTCAGTGAGCTTTCATGACCACCCTGTGAGATGGGGGTCTATTTTCCAGATTAAAAACCTCTGAGCCCCAGAAGGTTGTACTCACACACAGCTGGTCAGAATTTGAACCCAGAACTGACTTCAGAACCTGGGCCTCTCCCCATCACACTAAAAGGACAAGATGATCGCGTCTGGCCAAAAATCAAGACACGGGACGCTGAAGTGCTTTATTATCAGAACTTACTGGAAGGGTTTCCAAGTCGCTTAGGCGGGTGAGTGGGTTTTGGGGCCCAGTTCTTCAAACATGTGAGGGTTTTTTCTTTCTAATGTCTCATTAAGTCCTCTGGGGAGAAAAAACAACTCCAGTTGGGTCCCACAAGGTCAGATCTTTCTCCTGAAACAGGGGGTTCTTCGCAGATCTCCCAGTAGCCTTTCCTGGGGTCATGCCTTGACATTTCATAGAAGGGTCTATGGTGACCCTATTGCTTTGAAGGGCGTGACAGGGTCTGCCGGGCACCTCTTCACCAGGTGGACAGTCAAGAAGCTGACCAGCGGGGCGTTCGGCTCTTTAAAAACAGGAGCGAGAACAGCAGTTCCCCTGTGGCAGTAGGGTCTTCCTGTTGGAGGCGGGAGAGAGGAGAAACAAGTTGTCCCATGGGGATCCTTGTAATATGTGGGGTCTTCTCTGAGATCCTACAGTTACCATTCAATGCAAATATTCCCAAGTGAACTGACCCATTTATAAATTGGCCTCAATGATCTTTACAGTGGCGCTATCCAAGAGAACTAGCACTTGAGTCACCCGTGCAGTTAAAAAATTTCTGGTAAAAAAAAAAAAATTTTGGTAGCCACATTAAAAAGGGAACTGGTAAAGTTAATTTTAATAATATATTTTATGTAACCCAGTATATCCAAAATACCATCTCACCCTGTAATCAAGATTTTAAAATATTGATGTGATATTTTGTTTTATTTTTTCGGGGGGGGGGACTGGGCCTTTGAAATCCAGTGTGTGTTTTGCACATCTAGATTTGGACAGGACATGTGGTGGCCAGTGGCTGTCATCTTGGACAGCAGTAGTATAGAGAGTCTGTCTCCCACCTCTACATCAATGTCTGTTGCTCAACTGCAAAACAGAATTGGAAGTCTTGCAGAAGACAGGGGAATTATACATGTGATGTGTTGAACTGCTGGGCCCACCCACAAGCCACCGACGCAGGAAGGTGTGGGAGAGCTAAACCAGTTAAGAATGAACAAAGGACAATGGCTATGGTGGTGTGATGGGCTCAGTTGTGTTCCCTCCAAAATCCATATGTTGATGTCCTGACCCTCAGTACCTGTATAGAACGTGGCCTCATTTGGAGGTACGGTCATTACAGAAGTTACAGTGGAGTCATTAGGGTGGGCCCTAATCTAATACGACTGGTGTGATGTCATTACAAAAAGAGGAAATTCGAACACAGAGACATGCCCAGACGATGCGAACAGACACAGGTGGAAGCCAAAGAGAGAGTTCTGGAATGAATCCTTCCCTTACAGCTGTCAGAAGGAACCAACCCAGCCAGCACCTTGATCCCACACTTTTAGCCTCCACAACTGTGAGACAATACATTTATGTTGTTGAACCGCGCCCGGGCTGTGTTACTCTGTTATGGCAAACCCTAGGAAACTATTACTAACGCAGATAGGCTGGCCGGGGGCATCAGAAGAGAACAGTTTGCCCACGAAAAGGCTACAGGTGGTTCTTAGGACAAGTGAAGATGTATTCTACTTTCTGCCCGCACCATGCATCTAGCTGAATTACCAAAAACAAACAAACAAAAGCAACCCAAAACATCTGTGCAATGGGCTCTCTAATTTAAAAGAAAGAAAGAAAGAAAAAAAAAAAAACAACCAAAAACATATCAGCAATTTGTGGTGTTGTGGAAGCCCCTGTGCACGTCTTGCAGGAAAGGAGGGGAGAAATGGTGGTGAGTGGAATTCAAGCCTGCACCCCTGACCATCTCTGTAATGAGCCAACACGCCTCATTCCTTGGGTTCCTGGCAAGTAGAACTTCCCCGCAAGTCTGCTGAGAAAAGACCTTCTCTATATAAGCCACAGTGAAACATTTGTGTGTTTAATGACAATCTCTGATGGGACAATCCTGGATGGGAGATTGCCCCCTTCCTCCCAGGGTCAAGTAGAAAAGGCAGGAAGCAGAGCTAACAGCGGGAGTGGCTAACCATGAAAGGGCCTGCGTGCCCTACCATGACCTTGGTAAAGAGAGCATGGGTTGAGGCCAGACGCCACCCAGGGCCCACTGCAACTGACCTCTGTGTGTGTGGCCTCTGCAGTTCTGCTCACGGACCTGCCCGCCACACAGAGGAGCTCTCTGTTGGACTCATTCAGCGCACAGCCTAGCAAAGCCAGGCAACTGAAGCTCACCATCAGGACAGCCAAGAGCAGCTCCACCAAAGCAGTCAGTGGTAGAAGTTATCGATTAGCCTTCTGTATTTGTGGATTATGAAATGTCTCTTAAGTTTTGTCGTTGGACCTATCGAGAAAGGAGGGATCAGTTGAGTCGTGGAGAGGAAAGGAAACTCCACGTGCCGCCTGCATGTCCGGGCAACAGGGTCCTGGCGCGGGGGCTGGGCTGGGTGGCTGGCACTGCCATCGACTTCCTGAGTGTGTTGCTTTTGCCATTGGTGTACAGGGAAAGGAACACACAGTGGCGTCCCTGGGCTGTCATGAGGATTCTGTGGGCTGGCACGTGGAAAGCCCCTGATACAGACCATGCACCCAGTGGAGGAGGGACGCCATTGTCATCTCAACTGCTCTGCCCACCCACGCTTTACACGTGAGGAAACTGGGGCTTAGAGAGGGCCAGTTGCTCTGAGGTTACCCAGCAAGTGCATGGTGGAATCAAGACTTGAACTTGGGAGTTGTGTGTCCCACCACCCGGGACATTCATAGCCTGTGAGGCACCGGGAGCTTTGGATTCCCATGAAGGTGTCTCAGACAATTCCACAGGGACTGTTTTTCCAACTTATAAAAAGAGTGAGGCCTGAAAGGACCAGTCACTTCCCTGACCTCTGTGTGTGTGGCCTCTGCAATTCCGCTCACAGACCTGCCTGCCACACAGAGGAGCTCTCTGTTGGACTCATTCAACGCACAGCCTACCGTGGAGGAGACAGAATTTGTGGATTTTGTTTTTAAGAGACAGGGTCTCTCTCTGTCTCCCAGGCTGGAGTGCAGTGGTGTGAACATAGCTCACTACAACCTCAAACTTCTAGGCTCAAGGGATCCTCCTGCCTCAGCCTCCAGAGTAGATGGGATTGCAGGTGCACACCACCATGCCCAGCCAATTTTTAAATTTTTTGTACAGACGGGGTCTCGAACCTCTGGCCCCAAACGATTCTCCTGTCTCAGCCTCCCAAAATGCTGGAATTATAAGTGTGAGCCACCAGGCCCCCAAAGAAAGGACTTTGACAGAACTCCGGAACCCTAGCCTGAAGTGAGCCCTTCCCTCATGGGGGGAAAGAGACTAACTCATACAGAGAATAATTTCAGATTCTGATGCATTCTGGAGGCAAGAAGACAGCTGGTAGAATAGGGGGTGATGGCAAGCTATATGGGTGATATTTTAAGGGTGTTAGTGAGCCACTCTAGCCAGTGTGGTCAGGGAAGGCTGCTCTGGGAAAGTGGCTGGTAGGGTGAGACCTGGACAATGAGAACGAACCATCCAGGCAAGGAAGTGAGGGGGAGCAGCATTCTAGGCAGAGGAGCCAGCAGGTGCAAAGGCCCTGTGGTTGGACTATGCCCAGAGAGCTGCAGGAACAGTGGGAAAGAGACAGAGAGTCCCAGAGTGGGGGGACATGGCTGTCCTGGAGAGAAGGGACTGTGTGTATGTGTGTGGTCAGGGTGGCAGCTTCCATCTCCCAATCCCTGGCTGGTCCCGTGGACCCTCTGACCCCCCAGAAAAGGGCACCTCTCTTTTTTTCTTCTTCTTTTTACCTCTGGAATTCTAAAATCCTTCCTGGCGGGCACCTCTCCTTGGAGCCCATGTGGCCCACGATGCTAGCAAGGGACCAGCCTCCCAGTGCCAAGGCCGCTCACCCAGCTCCCCGCCATAGATGGAAAAGTCCTTCTCCAAGATGATCCACTTCTGAATCTTCTGCGCGTTGGAAATGGCCTTCTCGTTCACGGCGTCTATGCCTTCCTGGATGGCCGCGTAGACCAGCGGGTCCCGCAGCTTCACGATCTCCGTCACGGTGGAGGCCCTGCTGCCCATCTTCCGGCAGAAGTTGATGGCCTCCACGTTCAGGTGGTCCAGAGGCTCTCCAGTCCACGGATCCATATCGCACTGCCCCGGGACACCGCTGTCACCGCGCGTGCTCCCTGGCCAGCCCCCATCCCACCCCCAGGCCCTGAAGACCAAGACGTGGGTCTTGGACCCCACAGGCGTGCCTTCCCCACACTGGGCAGGGCCGGCCACAGAGCCTGCCCAGAGGACAGCAAACCCCCGCCCTGAAGACCAAGACGTGGGTCTTGGACCCCACAGGTGTGCCTTCCCCACACTGGGCAGGGCCGGCCACAGAGCCTGCCCAGAGGACAGCAAACCCCGCTCACCTTCAGCGTCAGCAGCATGACCAGAAACTTGGCCCTGTCTCCCACTAGCATGGCGTTGCTGATGATGGGGATTTCCTTCTTCACCAAGTTCTCGATGGGAAGGGGGGCCACGTTCTCGCCGCCGGCGGTGATGAGGAGTTCTGCAACAGAGCTCGGCTCGGTGCGTGTCCGGCCAGGACAGTGCAAAACCCCCACCCGCTTGGGGATCACAGGAGCCGATGCCGGCGTGGCCAAGCCAGCACTCACCTAGAAAACCCCAGAACACAGGAGGACGGGCCCCTCTTCCCCTGTCTGCTTCAACAGCCCACCAAGGGTTGGGGTTGTGTGCACCCCACTTGGATGGCGTCTTAATAACGCCTCGCCTGCTTCCCAGCCCTCACGTGCCCTGGGCCCCTCCAACACGTCTTCCTTGAAAGACAGTGAAACCTGCTGTGCCACACGCTGTCTCTCTGCTTCTTCCCTTTCCATCACTTGCCAACCCCAACAGAATCAAATTCCACCTGATCTGTAGGGACATGCGCAGCGTCCCTAACTTTGGCAAGCCCTGAAGCGGTCTCCCCCAGTCTCTAAAATTCGCCTCCTCCTGCCCCAGGCCTGTTGGTCACGGTACTTTCATCCTGAGATGCTAGCCTGTTTGTGTCCCACCCAAACCCTCTCCGCCTTGTCCCAGGATCTCACAAAATCACCTTCACTGCAGTTGTCGCAGAAGTAATGGTTGACACGACCGTGCAGTGGACATCTATGGTGTAACTCCTTCTTGGAGCACCCTGATTTTTTTTAGGGAACCACCCTCCACTCTTCAATGCATGTGGTTTGGGTGGGGTGAACGCAGGGGTGAGCATGTGGCCAGCTCTGACCAGTCAGCATACTTCACCCCCTACAGTGGTTCATTCTGAGGGGGATCTTGATCCAAAAAAGATCCAGTGAGAGTCAGGCCTGAAACTTTTGCAAAAAATATTGGGCATAACACACTCTAGTCCCTTTGGGGGTAAAGGTGAGCCTAGACATTGGCAGCCTTGTCGCCACCAAATGGGAAAGGCCCTTTAAGAATTGCACCAGCACACGGAAAACTCAGTAAGAAAAGGATAAAGAAAGTTCTTGTGATGTCATTTTGGCACCTGGATCCAGCCATGCCTGAAGCCCTTTTGGACTTTTCAGTTATGTTGAGCCAACAGGTATTTTTGGTTTTTAAAAATGGATTTGAGTTAAAAAGTTCCAAATGCTCTCCATCAGGGATTGGCAAACTATGGCCTGGTGTGCTAGGGTGGGCCTGCTTGCTGGAGGCCCCCACGGACCCAGCACCCCACCTCCACCCCCCAGTACCTTTGATGCGGCCGGTGATGTAGAGGAAACCCTGGTTGTCCATTTTGCCCAGATCCCCAGAGTGCAGCCAGCCCTCCTCATTGAAGACGTCAAGCGTTTCGTCCTCGCTCTCCAGGTAGCCCATGAAGACGTGCCGGCCCCAGATGCAGACCTCCCCGATGCCGTCCTTGTTCTGCTCGAGCAGCATGTTCTTACACCCGGTCATGACCTTGCCGCAGCTGCCGGGGAACGGGAGTGGGAAACTGAGGCTCTGAGAGACAAAGTCACCCGCCCCGTTCTGTCTGGATCTGTAGCCCAGGCTCCTTCCTAATGGCCCTGCTTAGCTGGTGCGGGCTGGAACTGCTCCCTCTGCGGGACCCATGGACATAAGGAGGTGTTTGCTGAAATATTTGATACACTGAATCGGATTCCCAAATGCTTGGTGAGCTGGGAACCCCAGCAGTGTTGAAGGCTGGACTTTTTGTTTGTTTGGTTGTTTTTTTTAAATTTCCACATATATGAGAGAAGGAAAAAGTGCTTCCGGCTTAAGGACGGCAACAAAACCTCCCCGCCTTTTCGAAATGGATATGTAGATCTCCATGCGATGACCAGGACAGCTGATTTTAAGAAAGATGATCCATTAGAATCTCTTTAGAGGTTAAAGTTACTTCCGTAAAACAGAATGGCACTGTTTAAAACCTAGGTTCTTAAAGACTCCTTATTTCTAGGCTGGGCGCGGTGGCTCACGCTTGTAATCCTAGCGCTCTGGGAGGCCAAGGCAGGTGGATCTTTTGAGCTCCAGGGGTTCGAGACCAGCCTGAGCAAGAGCGAGACCCTGTCTCAATTAAAAAAAAAAAAGTCTCCTTATTTCTAGAGATGACATTTATGACATTTTAGGATGCAGACCAGGAAGAAGCATTCTCTCCTGTGTTGCTGAGATCTCTCTTTCATTGGCAGCTGGAAGGGCCAGGAGTGTAAGGTTAACGATAGGAATTCCCTCAGTTAGCAAAACAAAAAGGAAGGCAGGCCTGAGAAATTCAGAACTTACAAAGAGCCTCCTTGCCACTTTCCCACTGAATGCTTTCTAGGAATGTGGAAACATCCAGAAGCCATAAAAGATTGATATATTCAACCATGTAAAGTTCACAAATTTCTACACAGCCAAAAACACCTTAACTAAAATCAAAATACCAATGACAAACCTGGGGGTAAAATATTTGTAACTCATGTGAAAGACAAAGGGCTGATTTTCCTAGTATGTAAAGAGTGCCAACAAATCAACAATAGCAGGACTGATAATCTAATTTTTTAAATGGACAGGTAATATGGTCAGTTCATATAAAAGAAGGTACAGATACCTTTTAAATGTATGAGGAATAAAATTTTTTTTGAGACAGGGTCTAGTTTTGTCACCCAGGCTGGAGTGCAGTGGCACAATTATAGCTCACTGTAACCTCAGACTCCTGGGCTCAAGGGATCCTCCTCCTTAGCCTCCCAAGTAGCCAGGGCTACAGGCATGTGCCACCATGTCTGGCTAATTTTCTTATATTTTTTTGTAGAAATGGGGTCTCACTGTGTTGCCCAGGCTGGCCTCAAACTCCTGGGCTAAAGTGATCCTCTCTACTCACAGCACCCCCCACCCCCAGAGTGCTGGGATTACAGGCATGAGCCACTGTGCCTGGCTCTGTTGATTTTTTTTTTTGGGGGGGGACATGTGCATGTATTACTCATTGGAAAAAATATTTAAAGATAAAAGCTGAAATTTGTACCTTTCTTCTAGGGGTGGAACATTGTCATTTATTTTTAGGGAAGGACACTCTTTGGTCTCAAAACCGTAGTTGGGGCTTTAAGTTGTGCAGAAAACAGATCCAGCTGGGATAATGGAGTGGAGAGGGGGAGATGCTAAGGAGCTAAGGTCCTCTGGGAGGTAAAGAAAAAGGCAGGAGATGGTTTTGCCACATTAGGAAGATTTAGCTTATTTTTTGCTTCCTTGGCTGGGTCTCGAGAAAGGCATTTGGAAGCTGGTTCATTGGAGAGCCCCAAGCACGAGCGGGAAGCCAGACTTGCAATCTGGCGGCAGGGAAGCTGGGTCAGGGAGAGACACAACCAGAAAGAAGATTCTGCGGAGGAACATGGCTGTCAGACTCAAGAGTTGAACTTGCCTTTGGTATTCTTAGGGTTTGAGTATCATTGGGTTCAAAGCCTGCAGCCTGGGGTAAGCTGAGCTTGGGAGAAAGGAAGACCTGGGGCTTGGAGGCTGGGGACCCGAGGTCACTGTGGAGAGAGCAACTCAGGATTCTCTTAGCCCAGAGGCTGGCCCACCCACACATGCTTGTCCCCTTGAGCTCACGGAGGACCGGGGTTGCCTGAGAGGCCAGTACCTTAGAAAGGTGTAGTTATTTTGCGTGGACACTGTGTGGGACCCAGAGCTCTCGCTCATTCCATATATCTCGCCTATGGGCATGTCCAAGCTTAGGAAGAACTCAGCGGTCTCCTCGGTGAGAGGTGCGGCCGTGCTAGTGAAAACGTGACAGTGATCCAAGCCCAGGGAGCTCTTCACTTTGCTGAACACGAGCCTCTTAGCCATGCGGTAGCTCATGGTGGTCTCATGTTTCCTGCTAATAAGAATGCCATCCATCCAAAAGGGATGATGAGAAGGAGGTCGGGCCTCCTCACCCACCGCCTTCCCAGCCCTGGGGACCGTCCCTCTGCCTACCCCGCCATCCTTTTTGTGTTCATCCGCATGCCAGTGGATCTTGCCCATATAAACACCTTCTTCCTCAAGCTGGGAAACTTGGCACTATGTTCTTTGACCGTGTCATGCAACTTCTCCCAAATTCGGGGCACCCCCATGAAGACGGTAGGCTTTACCTCCTGCAGAGTGGTTAACAAGCTGCCCTGCATGGGACAGAGCTGGGTTAGACACAGCGGTGGCTTCTATGGACCAGAGATGTCCAACTCTGCCCAACAGAACATCCCTTTGCTGGTTGGACCAGAGTGGGCTCCCGACCCAAGGGAGACAATCCCATTGGCTGGCCGGTGGCCAATCAGATTTTTGTACTTTCTGTAGGAATTTGACGAAGAGCATATGCTTGTAAAATATTTTTGGAAGGTAACGTGGTGGTACTGTCAACATTTTAAATGCACCGTTGCAACCTCTCTTCTGCGGGTGAAGGAATTTAGCTGAATGAAAGACTCAGGTACACAGGGAAACACATTCAAGATGTTCTTTGTGGCATTGTTTTGTAAGAGGATGGAAACAGTTTATCTGTTCAATGATGGGGAATTGGCTAAAGAAATCGTGGTGCAAGCATACAGTAGAATGTTAACGCAATTATTAAAAAGGATGCTAGATTCTCCCCTAAACTAATGTTTAGGTTTGATGCAGTCTCTATTCAAATGCGGGCAGGCTTTTTCATAGAAACTGACAAGCTGATCTTAAAAATTTACATAGAAAGTCAGAGGGTCTAGAATAGCCAAAGCAATGTTGAAAAAGGGAAACAAAATTGGAGGACTTACTACCTGGTTTTAAAATTTATCATAAAGTGGGTGATCAACTGTCCTGGTTTACGCAGAACTGGAGGAGTTCCTGGAATTTGGAACTTTCAGTTTTCAAACTGGGAATGTCCCAGGCAAACCAGGACAAAGCGTAGCTAGTGTAATCAAGTCAGTATGGTTTTGGTGTAAGCATAGACGTGAAAATTGACGGAACAGAATAGAAGATCCAGAAAGAAAACCTTAAATTAACAATCGATTGATTTTCAACAAAAGTGCCAAGGCAGTTCAGTGGGGAAAAAATATGCATGAGAGAGAGAGCGCAAGAGCAAGCCTTCCTGCTTTCTCACCAAACGCAAAAAATAACTCAAAATGGATTATGGGCCCAAATGTAAGAGCTAAAACTAAAAGCTTTATAGAAGAAAGCACAGAAGAGAATCTCTGTGACTTTAGAGTAGGAAGAGATTTCCTAGATATGATACCAAGAACATAAAAGAAAAAAATAAATTGGACTTTATCAAATTTAAACACTTTTTTGCACTTCAAAAGAAAACAAAAAGATAAGCTGCAGAACTGAGAGGAAGTATTTGCAAATCATAAATTTGATAAAGTATTTGTAACTAGAATATGTGAATAACCCTTAAAACTCAACAATAAGATTAGATGTGCAACCAGGTTTTTAAATGGGCAAAATATTTGAATAGACATTTCTCCAAAGAAGATATACAAACAGCCAATAAGCACATGAAAATATGCTCACCATAATTAATCGTTAGGGAAATGCAAATTAGAGTCATGAAATATCACTTCAGTCCCACTAGAAATGACAATAACAATAATAATATTAAAAAACAAGGCCAGGTGTACTGGTTCACACCTGTAATGCCAGCTACTCTACTTGGGAGGCTGAGGCAGGAGGATTGCTTGAGCCCAGGAGTTGAAGGTTGCAGTGAGCTATGATAATTCCACTGTACCCTAGCCCAGGCAACAGAGTAGGACCCTGTCTCAAAAAAAATAAAAATAAAAAATAAAATAAAAAGCTGGAAAAGGCAAGGAAATGGATTTTTCTCCAAGTGTCTCTAGAAGGAATGCAGCCCTGCTGACACCTTGATTTTAGCCCAGTAAAATCCATTTTGGAACTCCAATCTCCAGAACTGTAAGCTAATGAATTGATGTTGCTGTCAGCCACTCTGTGGTCACTTGCTGTGGCAGTAAGAGGCAGCTAGTTCAGAGAGTGTAGCTGGGGCCGGGGATGCTAAATTCCAGAGGTCTCTCCTGGCTCTGTAACGTTGCAAAGTCCAGACGTACACAAAGTAGATTTTTTGTCTCACATAGTTATTCTGAAAAACCTACCAAAGGATAATCTCCAGCAAAATAAAAGAATAATCCCCCAAAGACGGCAGAGATGCCAGAAAATAGGGAACCCAGCCCAGAAGCAGGGGGAAGGGATAGCCCTGCATGGCAGCTTGTAGAAGATCCTGTCCAGATCTCTAATTGTCCACAGTTCCCTCTTTCCCAGAGAATGACCCTTACTCAGAAATGCCTGGGAAGTCACGTTCCCCCAAGGGTACGTGATCCTGCAGCCGATGACTATCTGAGATGAGGTACAATGGCCCAGCCACTTTGCCTCAAAGTGAGACAACACTGTGGTGTCATTCATGCCTCAGAGCTTCCCATGGGATCAGCCTGAGGTTACAATCCAGCCGAACCTACAACCTCTCTTGCTTTCTTCCTCTGGCCTGTCCTGCTCCCCTCACTTCCTTACCATTGTCACCTGACAGTCCCCCCTCAATAAGTCATAAAAAAAATCTCCATTTCACGTTTTGTTTCCAGGGGACCCAACCTAAGACAAGCTAAAATAACCACTGGCCCAGCTCAGTACAGAGGATAAAGAAAAAAAAAAAATAAGGCAATGAATAATTAATTGAGCATTTGGATAATACTGATAAGCACATAACAGATCAGATGGAGCAACTAGACAGATATGAAAAAAATCAAACTGCAAAAGGAAAGCAACTATCAACTCTGGGAAAAACAAAAAGCTGGACCAGACAGGAAGTGTAGTCCTATAGTACACTACTTGGCTCAATGTACTAAGAATGCTTTGCATTAAGAGGATGGAGAAGGGAAAATGAGTGGAGAAAGGGGAAGAGGACTAAATCCTCACCCATCACAATAGAAGAGTAATAGATGATATTTCAACGTGGATAAATCAAGAAAAGGTGGTATCACATATTCAGAATGCTGCAGGTAAATGCCACAAGAAATCCTCTTAAATATCTGAAAGAGGCTGCCTCTAGGTTAAGTCAGGACACTGATGTTTTTCAAAACAGGTCCAAACTCCCGTATCTTAAACCCTTGGGGCCCGGATGTGGCTTGGAATTTAGAATTCTCTGGCCTTCAAAAAGGTAATACAGTGCATATTACATCTGTTATATGACTCTTACCGTGGCATCTGGGAAAGCCCACTAAAGTTCATCAATGTTTCTGCAGTAAAAGACGTGCATGTTCCCAATAAGTGGGATAAAATGAAGACCATAGTTATGGTCATGTAAGTTTAGGTCAGACTTTACTGCTAAAAACTCTTGGGTTTTGGAGCTTTTTGGATTGGGAATACTGACTTAAAAAAAAAAAATGTGTGTGTATACTCGTATACACACTTTACGTTCGATACCATTTCTGTCTCTGTCCTGGGTGGTTCGGTGTGCAGTGTATACAGCCATCCGTGGATGCCCTGACTTGGATAAAGGTAAAAACTAAAAGAATGTGGTCAGCTGTTTTTAATGCTGCTGTGTGGAACGTAAGATGAGGGCAGAGAAGATACCCTCAGGCCTGGGGACCCCCCAAAAAAACATTTGTCGAGTGAATGAACAGCCATCCACTCAGCCGGGCGACCCTGGAGGACGCAGCGGGGCCCCGATCCCCGCTGGGTCTTACCCTGAGAGCGTCCGGCTGAGCGAAGTACGTGAGCGCCCCGGTCTTCATAGGGATCCAGATGTCCAGCATCTGGGCCGCGATGTGGCTGAGGGGGAGGTAGCTGACCACAGACTCCTGCTTCTCGGTCAGTTCGAACTCCTTTGCCACTGCCCCTGCCATCCACGTGATCTGGAACACAAAGGACAGTCGGGGTGCCTTGCCCTTGGCCGATTTGAGTGTATGTATTTAGCAAACACAAGGCGCCTCCTACGTGTCAGGTACCTCGTGGTGTTTTGGCGAGGGGTTAGTGTTAAAATGTGTTTATCTTTGGGATGTCGATCTGTGGTGAGACTACAGGGCTAGTTTTACCTTCTTACTAGAAAGATGACGGTGATAAAAAAAAATGATATCCATGTACCTTGCAAACATGGAGTCATTTAATTCCCATCGTAACACCTGGGGGTCAGTGACTGCCATCCCCCTACTTTACAGATAGCACTGCCCGAAGCTGGCAAGAGCTGCAGGACCCAGCGGGCAGCTTTGGGGTGGGGTGGTTTGCAGATCCCCCCTTGGGTCTAACGACAAATTCAGAACGCCTTCCTGGGAACTAAGAAAACTGAAGGATTCAGTAATAGTCCCAGAGTCAAATCCTGACTCCACCATCTGTTCAACCTTGGACTATTTGCTTGCAATCCCTCGTGGCCTCTATTTCCTCATCTGTGAAGTGGGAGAACAGAGGACTCTCATGTGCAGTATAAAGCTACAGGAACCAATATTGTCAAACAAAAAGGATACTACCCATAATCCCATCACATAACATCCCAGCAATTAGCATGTTCATGTCTTTCTTCCTCTAATGCATACCTTGATATTATATTAATATAAAGCTTTAGTGTCCCTGTAATTTCACCATCTCTATTTCTCACTGGTGTCCTACACCTGTGGTGCATGGTTACGTTGCTAATCCAGCCACACAGACCTCCTTGCTGTTCCTCTAATACAGCAGGCCTGGCCTGGCCTCAGGACCTTTGCACTGGCTGTTCCCTCTGTTTCAAATGCTTCTCCTCCAGCTTTTCCCCCCAACTCCACCATGGCCAGCTACGTCTTGAATGTTAAGTCTCAGCTCAAATGTCAGTCACCTCCTTACAAGGGCCATCTTGCACCACTGAGCTAAAGGTGTCGCTGTCTGTCCAAGTCTCCATGTGCCCCTTACCACAACCTGAATGGCTTTGTTTCTTCATTCCCTGTCTGTCTTCCTGAGATCCAGGACGGGGCCTATCTTTACAGCCTGGGGTCCAAGGAACCCAGCACTTGTTTGTTGAGGGAAGGGGCTTGGCATGTGTAGACTGATGTACAATTGTTTAGACACTCCTGGTTCGGATCCTGGCTCTGTGACCTTGTCCAAATCATTTCCCCTATCTGAACCTCAGTTTCCTCATCTGTAAAAGGGGACAATTTACCTCGTGGTGTTTTGGTGAGGGGTTAATGTTAAAATGTGTTTATCTTTGGGATGTTTATCTATGGCAAGAATATAGAGCTAGTGTTACCTTCTTACTATAAAGATGATGGTGATAAAAAATGATATTAATAGCTATTCTTGATGTAGGTAACTATATGTCAGGTGTTGTTCTAAGCATTTAATGTATATGTGGTAGATTAAAGACAGCCGCCAATTCTCTGCCACCCCTCCCATTCAGAGGTGGAATCTATTTCTCTTTCCTTGGAAACAGGGCTGGTCCAGTGACTTATTTTGACCACCAGAATGGAGCAGAAGTGACACTGTGTTAATTCTGGGACTGAGCCTTAATAGACCTGTAGCCTTGGCCTTAGCCTCAGGGGGTGCTTGTTCTGGGAGGAGCCAGCTGCCGTGCTAAGAAGTTCAATGACTATGCTGTGAGGAATCCCAAGCCACACAGAGCAGCTTCACAGAGGAACCAGGCATATGAGTGAAGCCTTCTTGAACTATCCAGCCCCACCCAGGCACCAGCTGAATGCATCTGAGTGAACCCAGCTAATGCTCTGTGGAGCAGAAGAAACGCCTTGCTGAGCCCTGTCCAAATTCCAGACCCAGAAACAACACACTGTTGGTGCTTTAATCTGCTAAGTCCTAGGGTGTTTTGTTAGGCAGCAATAGTGTAACTGACCAGTATATTAAATAATATAATCTGCATAGCAACCCCAAGAGGTACAAACCATTCTTGTATCGATTTTAAAGATAGGCAAAATGAGGCTCTAAAAAGTTAAGGAATTTGCCCATGGTCACATGGCCAGCAGGTGGGAGAGCTAGCATTCAAACACAGGCAGTCTCGCTCCAGGGTCTATGCTTAGAAACCCTATGCTAGGAGAATATCTCACCAGACATGAAGCCACTAGAAGCATAAACACTAGTCAGGATAGGGAGAGGATCCTTTGCAATCAGATTTCTTTCATTCATTCCACAAAAGTGGATCAAGCCTTCCTGCCCACCAGGACTATAGAATAGTGAATAAAACAGCCCCTGCCTTCGGGGAGCTGATGCTCTTGAACATAGAACAAGTGAACATACAATATCAGTGTCAGAAATGCTAGGGAAGGAAAAAAAAAGTAGCCAAATGGGGATTAGGCGGTAATGGGGTGGTTTATTGCTGTTTGCTATTTTAAAGGTGGAAGTCAGGGAAGGCTTCACTGAGGGGGCGAGATTTGCATGGAGACCTGCAGGAGGTGAGTGAGCAAGCTGTGTGGTTATCTGGGGAAAAGAACTCCCTGCAGGGGGAACAGCCTATGCAAAGATCCTGGGGCAGGACGGCACCTGGCGTGTTGGAGGCACGGCGAGGCCTGCGTGGCTGGAGCAAAGTGAGGAGGGGGAGAGAGGGAGGAGGGGAGGGGCGGGAGGGGACGGGACAGGTTGTGCAGGGCCTGGTGGGCCTCGGGGATGACCTGGGCATTGACCCCAAGGGAGGTGGGAGCCATGAAGGGCTGTGGGGAGAGGAGGGATGGGATGTGACTCAGTGTTCACAGGCGCCCCCTGGTGGCTGCTGTGGGGAGGACAGACCGTGGGGGTGAAGGCAGGAGGGGCTGAACAGGACAGAGGTGACTGCACATGCAGGGCAGCGATGGGGGCGCTGGACCCCAAATAATTTTTGTGTATCTTGCATCATACAATTAGGCCCAGGCTCGTTCTTCGTAAGGACTCCTGTGATAGCTGAGCTTTTTTTTATTCCTATGATTTTTTGATAATCTGCTTTCCTTGTTATTAGAGAAAAATATATTAATGCATCCAGTGATACCCAAAGCTGGGTTTCAGTTTACTTCTAGACCTTAATCCCTGGTTCACTATCTTGCTCAAATAGGTAGTGTGAGAGTAACACAGGAGGTGTAGAAGAATCAGAAAGCCTCCAAGAGGTCTTGAGCTGAGATTCGGGAGGAGGAAGGGAATTCAGCAGGAAAGAGATAGTGTTTGGAAATGGTTTGAATTCATGTTAAAATGAGAAATCCAGGCCGGGTGTGGTGGCTCACGCTTGTAGTCTCAGCACTTTGGGAGGCTGAAGTAGGAGGATCTCTTGAGGCCAGTAGTTGGAGGCTGCAGTGAGCTAGGATCACGCCTGTGAATAACCAGTGCACACCAGACTGGGCAACACAGCAAGACCCCATCTCTAAAAGCAATTTAAAAAAAAACAGCAAATCTTTCTGATTCACAGAGAAGAACCCTCGTTGTCTGTGGGGTGCTTACTCTGCCAGGCGTTCTCCGGCTTTTGCAACGTACACACGTGCCTATCACTTGCTGTCATTTTTTTTGTTTTTAACAAGAATTGCATTGTGCCCCATTCTGCAACTGGCCTTTGGATGTTCACTGGCACATTTTATACGTGGGTCTATAGTGTAGGTAAAAGTGTGGATTGCGGAGCCCAGGCTGCCTGGGTTCAAGTGCTGGCCCTGTCGCGTTGCTTGGCCTTGGGCACGCAAGCCCTCTGTGGGCTTCGGTTTCCTCATCCCTAGAAGAGCGCCTGCCAGAGGAAACGCGTGGGCTCGCGGAGGCGATTTACTAGGCTCAAAACCCTCAGAATAGGGCCTGGCATGTAGTGCGCAGGCCATAAATGTTAACTGTTACTGTCTTTTCATTTTTTTAAAAAAAGCTTTATTGAGGTATAATTGACATGCAATAAACTGCATATATTTAAAGTGCACAATTTGACACATATTGGCGTGTGTCTACACCCGTGAAACCACCACCACCACCAAGATAGTAAATGTATCCATTAACCACCCTCCAGAGAAGTTTCCTCCTGCCTCTGCCTGCTCCCTTCCAGGCAACCACCCACCTGCTTTTTGTCACTCTGCATAAGTTTGCGTTTTCTAGGGGTTTGTTTTATTTTGCTTTTGGAGACAGGGTCTCACTCTGTCCCCCAGGCTGGAGTGCAGTGGTGGAATTATAGCCCAGGAAGCCTCCAACTCCTGGTCTCGAGCCATCCTCCTGCCTCGGCTTCCCGAGTAGCTGGGACTACAGGCACCATGCCTGACTAATTTTTTTTTAGAGACAGGGTCTTGCTATGTTGCCGAGGTTGGTCTTGAACTCCTGGCCTCAAGCAATCCTCCTTCCTCTGCCTCCCAAAGCGGTGGGATTACAGGTGTGAGCCACCGTGCTGGGCCTCTAGGGCTTTGTATAAATAGAATTACGCAGCATGCATTCCACTCATTCTTTTACAAGAGTGATCTAAATTACCATCCGTTTCAGACTCTGCCCATATATGGGTAAGTTTGTCTCCAACAAGCAGTGGACCTTGAGCAATCAAAAAAAAAAAAAAATCCTGTTGGATCCCTCTCCCTGAAATACAGAACCTACACACTGGTTGTCCACGTACTTATTTTATTATCCAACATGATTCTGAGCTCTTTACAAAAATATTAACTTGTATTCGGCTTCCAAACAACCCATGAGGCAGGGACTGTTCTATACTCCCATTTCACAGATGAGAAAACTGAGGCTTGGAGATTTTACATGTCTTGCTCAAGATCACAGAGCCAGGCTTTGGACCCGTGTCTGCCCAAGAGTCGGTTGATGTCAACCCCTGCACTACGCTGCCCCCTTTGAAGCGACCACACAATTCTCTAGTGCCCACTGGGGAAGGAGCCACTGCATGCTAGACCCCTAAACGCCATCCTGCCCCTGGAGGCCAGGAACAGAAACAGCCTGAAGGCCACCACTCTGGAGCGAAGAGACTGTGGCTTACGTTGTCGTGACTCAGCATGACTCCCTTGGGGTGGCCTATGGTCCCCGAAGTGAAGATGATCACCGCGCATTGATTAGCCTTCTGGCTCGCAATGATCTGCTCCAGCTGGGTGTCGGGGATGCTACTGCCAAGTTCCATGAAGTCATCCCACTGTGGACAGAAAGGACAGGCAGAGGGTAAGGAGACAGCCAGGAATCCCCTCTGCGCTCAGACCGTGTCCTGCCGGCCTTTCCTGAATCACGATTCCCAGCACGAGAAAGGGCGTAGGCTGTGCCAGTCCTGGTCCCTCCTACAAAACCCTAAGACGTTTGTTTCCAGCTCTGCCACTCCCTTGCTCTGTCGCCTTGGAACAGACCACTTAAGCTCCCCATGCCTCAGTTTCCTCATTTGTAAAATTCAGACCCAACTCCTTGGGCTGTTCGAAGCAGCAATAAATTTAATATGTGTAATGTGCTCAGAACAGTAGTTGGCACATGGTAAGTCAATTTTAAATAGAGACAGGTAGCAACAGGGCTGTTGAGTCCAAACTGTAGTGGGAACTGCAGCCAAAGGGCACAGTTGCACCCGTGTGTACGTGTTTTTACATCAATGGTTTTAATAAAAATAGTACCGATGAGGTTGCAACTACTAAAGCCAGGAAAGTAAAATTATAGTAAATTCTGGCTTGCGTATACATAAAACATTTATTTATTTATGAATGAATGAATGAATGAATGAATGAATGAATGAGACAGAGTCTCACTCTGTTGCCCAGGCTAGAGTGCCGTGGCATCAGCCTGGCTCACAGCAACCTCAAACTCCTGGGCTCAAGCAATCCTCCCACCTCAGCCTCCCAAGTAGCTGGGACTACAGGTGTGCACCACTACGCCCAGCTAATTTTTTTCTGTTTTTAGTAGAGACAGGGTCTTGCTCTTGCTCAGGCAGGTCTCAGACCTCAAGCGATCCTCCTGCCCTGGCCTCCCAGAGTGCTGGGATTACAGGCGTGAGCCACTGCATCTGACCCCCTACGTACATATTTTTTTTACGTATTTTAAAGTGGTAGTGGTTTGAATAAAAATATAATGGAGGACTTTGCATCTATTGAAGCCAGGAAAGTAAAATTATAATAAATTCTGGCATGAGTATAAATAAAATATTGAAACCTAAAATAATGTGAGTTTTAGCACATCTAATTTTCAATTTTTCAGTATATTTTTCAATTACCTTAACGTTCTCAAAAAAATGAGTAACAAAACAATTTTTACCCACCAGTTTGGGGGGTGATTTGTTTACACAGCAATAAATAACCATGATAGATGCCTTCGCATTAATTAGTCCCTTCGTGCTAGAAAAGAAAAAAATGACCCAAAGGCTCCACCCACTTCCCCATTGCCAGGCCCCACCCCTACCTTTGCTCACCTCCCCCTTCCTTTGAAAGGCCACACCCACTCCTGAAAAGCTCCACCCACTTATGAAAGGCCACATCCACTTCTGCTGCTGGGCTCCACCCCGTCCCTCGGCTCACGGGATTTGCTTTGAAAGGCCACCCCATTTCCGTTACAAAGCCCCGCTTTCCCCTTGCTCACCACCCTGCCCACTCCGCTTGGGAGGCCCTGCCCTCTCCCTTCGCTCACCTCCTACTTGCTCCGGAAGTCTCCACCCACTTGCTCCTGGCAAGGCCCCGCCCACCTCCGTTGCCAGGCCCCGCCCCTACCCTCGCGCGCCTCCTCGTCCCTCGGAAGGCCACGCCCACTTCCATTGCGAGGCCCCGCCCTCCCCTCGCTCGCCTCCCCGTCCCTCGGAAGGCCACGCCCACTTCCATTGCGAGGCCCCGCCCTCCCCTCGCTCGCCTCCCCGTCCCTCGGAAGGCCACGCCCACTTCCATTGCGAGGCCCCGCCCCTCCCCTCGCTCGCCTCCCCCGTCCCTCGGAAGGCCACGCCCACTTCCATTGCGAGGCCCCGCCCCTCCCCTCGCTCGCCTCCCCGTCCCTCGGAAGGCCACGCCCACTTCCACTGCGAGGCCCCGCCCTCCCTGTGCCCCGCGCCGCGCTCACAGAGTACAGGTAGCTGTTGTTCTGCTTCATCGGCAGCTTGTACTGGATGATCGCCTTTAGGTCCCCCAGTCTGCTCTGTGGAATCTGAAAGAAAGTTCTCTCTGGGCCCCATGGCGACTCAGCCCGGCGAAGCCTGAGCGCAGCTGGGTGGGAGCCCCAGGCTCGCTCCTGCAGCGACCCCAAGCTCCTGCCTTTCCCCTGCTCGTGCAGCGAAACGGACTCAAAACGGCCTGGCGTCAGGCCGCTGGGTTGTTTGTGGCCTGGATCTGTAGCCTCCCGGCAGGCAGTCGCAGGTGGATGTAGAGGCAGCACGTCTCGGACCGGATCATGATACCCAGAGCTTGGAGCGCGGTGGGTGAGCCAAAGGAAGTCCTTCCTCAGGACCTCGCACCACGCAGCTAGCCCTTGAGCTGGAGCCAGGCTTCAGAGATCCTCCGTGAAGGTGGCTGGAACCTGCACGGGTTCAGAACCCTCTACCCACATACCTAGGACCATAAGGTGTCAAAGGACGACAGAATCCCGCATAGCAGCTGGACAAGAATTTTCCAGAGAGAAGAAGTAGAAGGACCCCAGCCATTCACCGCCCACTACTTCGTGGTATGTTCTGCTCATACGACAAACAGGCATGACATGGGACCACAGAAGCATCGTTTAAAAAAGTGATTTTTTGAAAAAATCCAGGCTGGAGGTCAGGAATGAGGAATTCCTTCCTGAATTCCTGAAGTAGGAATCAAAAGGGTTCTGGCAGCACAATGTGTAAGATTTCATCGAGTCTGAAAAATGTGCCGTAATTTCAGAGATGCTAAAATGTGGAGAAACGTGGCTGACCGTGATCAGAGGATGCCGTTCATGGCAAGACACAACTCAACTACAGGGATGTTCAAGAGGGAAGAAATCTGTGACTCTGAGCCACAGAATAGGGCATTAGAGAAACTGTCTCAGGGGTCTTGAGCTGAAGGATGAATCCAGTCTTCTAGGCTCACTGCTCCCCGGGACTCCCCCCTTCTCTCAGGATCCTCCTACCAAAAGCTGATTCAGGAAACAACAGCTCATTCAAGCCCATGTGAGAAATCGAAAAGATTCCTATGATATCCATACCAAGATACTATAAGAAAAAAAAATAAAGGAACCAAATTCCACATTACACAAAGAAAAGTCACTTGAAAATTTCACCACAAAGCAAAAGAAAATTGTAACCCTGTATTCCAACACAAAAGTAAAATATGTAACGGAGCGAACACAGCTAGAAAGGAAGAACACAAAGCAGACATACAAGCACTCAGGAAAGAGCGTGATGCCAGGAAAAAGTGAAACAGGAAGTGGTAGAACTTAGGAGAGGAATAGAAGAGAAAGACAAAGGCATTTAGAAATGAAGAAAATTACAAGGAGCACGGCTTGAGGCTTGAAATAAACAAACTTCTAAAACAACAATAATCAGGCCAGGTTCAGTGGCTCATGCCTGTAATTCTAGCACTTTGGGAGGCTGAGCCAGGAGAATGGCTTGAGGCCAGGAGTTCAAGACCAGCCTGAGCAACATAGAGAGACCCCATATCTACAAAAAATAGAAAAAGTCAGCCAGGTGTGATGGCACCAGCTTGTAGTCCCAGCTATTTGGGAGGCAGAGGCAGAAGCATCACTTGAGCCTGGGAGTTCGAGGTTGCAGTAAGCTATGATGACGCCACTGCACCTTAGCCTGGGTGATAGAGTGAGACGCTGTCTCAAACAAAAGGGAAAAAAAGAAAAAAGAAAGAAAAAAATTCAGTAGTGGGATGCATATAAAATAATAATATACACATTTTTAAAATGGAGGCTGAATAGTATGCTAAATTAATATGAATTGGAAATTAAACTCTCCCACTCCACTCTGGTCCCAAAATACGCAGCTTCACCAGGTACACCAACGTGGTCGTGGAGGATTCTTGCTGAACCCGTGTATGGGGCAAACCCCACCAGCCTAGCTTTTCATTAGCATCTACCTGGGAGCACAAGGACAACTGACCAGAGCCCTGCGGTCCCCCCCACCCCGGGCGACTTTGGCGAGCAGTACTGGGTAGGGGTTTACCGAAAGGATTTTCTGTAACTGTTGATCATTTTCAACCAGCAAGATGTTCACCTTGGCATGAGTGATGACGTACTGACAAGCCTCTGCAGAGTTGGTGGCATAAATACCAACGCAAAGGCCCCTGGGAAAAGAAAACACATTTAGGTGTGTGCCCACAGTCACCTTAAGGTGAGAATGGCTTGGAAGGTAAGGGGAGAGGAAAAGTTTGTAAGTTCTGAGCTTGTGGCCTCCCCACCAGCTTCCCATGGCTCCCAACTTAGCAGGGATGAAGATGACAAAAATGATGATGATGGTGATGGGAATGGCAACTCCTATGATGTCGTCATGACAACAGGCCATGGAACACTCACAACACCCCATTTTACAGATGAGGAAAAACAAGGGTGAGGGCAGTGAAGCTGCTTCTTCAAGTGCTCGTTAGATTTGAGATTTGAACCCTCAACTCAGCCCTGTGCCCTTTATTCACAGCCTTTTGTTCTTGGTGGTGGCATCCAGTTGTGGTTTTAATTTGCATTTCCCAAATGACTAATGATATTGGGCATCTTTACAAGTGCGGATTGGCTACTTTCCTTTGTGACATTTCTGTTCGAGTCTTTTGTACCTTCAAATTTTTTCTTTGCCTTTTTATTGTTGAGTAGGATTTCTTTGTATACTCTAGATACCATTCCTTTGTCAGATTCAAGTTTTATGGCTATTTTCTCCAAGTGTGTGGTTTGCCCGTTCATTTTATTATTGGTGTCTTTTAATGAGCAGTTTTTAATGTTAATGAAGCCCTATCCATCAACTTTTTTCTTTAGTGATTTTGCTTTCTGTGTCCTGTCTAAGAAATCTTTGGCTACGCCCAGGTTGTGAAGATATTATCCTGTGTTTTCTTTTCTCTTGAAGCTTTAGAGTTTAACTGTTTTTTTGTTTTTTTTTTTTTTTTTTTTTGAGACAAGGTCTCACTCTGTTGCCCAGGCTGGAGTGCAGTGGTGCAATCATAGCCCCTTACAATCTCCTGGGCTCAGGCCATTCCCCTGCCTCAGCTTCCCAAGCAGCTGGAACTACAGGCACATGCCACCATGCTTGGCTAATTTTTCTATTATTTGTACAGATGGTGTCTCCCTGTGTTATTCAGGCTGGTCTTGAACTCCTGGACTCAAGGGATCTTCCTGCCTTGGCCTCCCAATGTGCTAGGATTACAGGCATGAGCCTCTGTGCCTGGCCTAGAGTGTTTTTTTTTTTTTTTTTTAATGATTAGGTCTATAATCCATCTGAATTTAATTTTTGCATATGGTGTGAGGTAGGGATCAAGACTGGTTTATTTTGCCATATGAATATACAGTTGGCAGTTGCATCATACCTGCTGGTATCATCTCTTTGTGAGAACCAATCAGATCACGCCTCATTACCCTATGCTTTTAAAACCCGACCCAGCCCCCACCTTGGGGAGACAGGTTTGAGTTTCCTCCTGTCTCCTCGCAGCTGACTTGCAATGAAGCATTTCATTTTTCAAAAGCCAGTGACATGGGATCGGTGTCTATGCACACCAGGCAGCAAGCCCATTGATTGCTCAGTCAACGCCCTCAATTTTTTCTTGGCTGTTAATGCTGCTACTGTTGTTGTGATTATTATATTATCATATTATTATTATATTATCATCTCAAGCAGGTAACAGTTGGTATATTATAGTTGCTATTTTTAATTCGAAGCATAGTTGTAAACAAACAGTGTGTAAATATTTTGATACCCGCTTTGTCACTTCTTACAACATCAAAAATGCTTAACGTGTACTCTTCAGAGCCCTCATTTCAAAATAATGCCCAATATTCCATCGAGGATGCATCTCACAGTTCTAGCACAAGTTGCTGGACACATAGGTGGTTTCCTTTTTTTTTTTGCCATCACTACTAACACTTGCAAGAAGTATCTCTTGTCCCTAAGCCTTATCCTCAGGTTTTGGTTTTGCTTCTTTTTTTTTTTTTTTTGAGTCAGAGTCTCTGTTGCTTGGGCTAGAGTGCCGTGGCGTCAGCCTAGCTCACAGCAACCTCAAACTCGTGGGCTCAAGCGATCCTCCTGCCTCAGTCTCCTGAGTAGCTGGGACTACAGGCATGTGCCACCGTGCCCAGCTATTTTTGCTATATATTATTTTAGTTGGGCAATTAATTTTTCTCTTTTTAGTAGAGATGGTGTCTCGCTCTTTCTCAGGCTGGTCTTGAACTCCTAAGCTCAAATGATCCACCCGCCTGGGCCTCCCAGAGTGCTAGGATTACAGGTGTGAGCCACCATGCCCGACCTGGTTTTGTTTCTTTAAGTAAAATTCCCAGGAGTAGAATTATCAGTCTAAAAGGAAACCAGTATTTTATTTTACTGTTACTTTTTCATGATGACCTAAGTCTTACGTCATCGCTGTGAGAAAGGGATTGTTTCCCATAATCCACTTGCCAAAAATAGCAACTATTAACATTGTGATAAACAGTCCTCGTATTTTTCTATCTATGCATATGTAAATACCCAAACAGAAACGAGATCTTAAGTGTATGTACTAGTTTGCAACTTGCTTGGGTGTCTGTCCGTCCTGCTAACCTGGGGCTCCGTGTGAAATTCCTGTGCGTATCTCACACTGAACCAGCCCAGCGCTGCCAGGCCCGGGGTGGCAGCTGGTCGGTCAGTACTCACAGTGGACCAAGCCAGTGGCCTTACCCTGCTAAGATGGAGCCAAGGGCAGCAATAAACCAATGCACAGAGTTAAACCCCAGGATGCCAACTCCATGGAAACGCTCCAAGCCCAGCTGGGAAGGAAAAAACAAAGAGACAAACAGAAAACATAAACACAGACATGTTAGATCATTAGGACGTGTGAAAATGGACTTCACAGTAGTCACGTGGGGGAGGGGAAGACAGCATTGAGCTCAAAATATGGGGCGCGGTATCTTCGCAACTATTTTGAGGTTGGTTTGCCTCCCTCTACGTAACACTCCATTTATTTTTTATTTTTTTATTGTAAAATATATATAACATGGGATTTACCACCATTTTGAGCAGATAGTTTAGTGGCATTAACATTCACACTGTTGTGCAGCCATTTCTACCCTCCATCTCCAGAACTTTCTCGTCTTCCCAAACTGAAACTCTGTCCCCATGAAACGCTACCTCCCCACCCCCTCCCCAGCCCCTGGCACCCACCATGCCACTTCCTGTCTCTGTGGCTCTGACGACCCTAGGGACCTCCTGCGAGTGGAACCACGCAGGATTTGTCAGAATTCTGTGTCTGGTTTATTTCACTGAGCATGAATCTCAAGGTCCATGCATGTCGTAGGATGTGTCAGAATTTCCTTCCTTTTCAAGGATGGATTACCCTGTTTCCCCGAAAATAAGACCTACTCATAAAATAAGCCCTAGCAGGATTTCTAAGCAGGATTTTTTTTTGCAAAATAGAAGCCCTACCCTGAAAATAAGACCTAGTGATGGGCGAGGCTACGCAGCGCATCTGCACAACCCGTGCATTTCGTCACGGATCGGTAAAGAAGACGAGCAGCCCTTCTCATCTGCCCCATCGTGACAGCGACTATCCCAGAGGTGACCGGAAAGGTGTGGGCAGCCCCACCAACAAGGTCGGCTCCCCCTGTCAGGTCCCGGCCAGTGGTTCTAAAGGAAATAGAGTCGCAAGAAATTGAGGATGGAATTCGGGGTTTGGAGAGTTATGATGATGTTCCAGAAGAAGACGACTTAACTATATTCGAATAAATGTAGATTGTTGTACCATACTTAAAAAAAAATAACACATCCCATGAAAATAAGCCCTAGGGTGTCTTCTTGAGGAAAAATAAATATAAGACCCTGTCTTATTTTCAGGGAAACACGGTATATTCCATTGTATGGGCGGACCATATTGTGTTTATTAATTCATCTATTGACAGACACTTGGGTTGTTTCCACCTTTTGGCTATTGCGAATAATGCTGTGAGCCTGGGTGTACAAAGATCTCTTCATGTCCCTGCTTTTGAATACCCGGAAATAAGATTGCTGGATCATGTGATAATTCTTTTTTTTTTTTTGAGACAGAGTCTCACTTTGTTGCCCAGGCTAGAGTGAGTGCCGTGGCGTCAGCCTAGCTCACAGCAACCTCAAACTCCTGGGCTCAAGCGATCCTCCTGCCTCAGCCTCCCAAGTAGCTGGGACTATAGGCATGCGCCACCATGTCCGGATAATTTTTTCTATATACATTAGTTGGCCAATTAATTTCTTTCTATTTATAGTAGAAACGGGGTCTCGCTCTTGCTCAGGCTGGTTTCGAACTCCTGACCCTGAGCAATCTGCCCGCTTCGGCCTCCCCAAGTGCTAGGATTACAGGCGTGAGCCCCCGCGCCCGGCCCTATGTTTAACTTTTGAGGAACCACTTTACTGTTTCCCACAGGGCTGCACCATTTACCTTCCCACCAGCAGTTTACAAGGATTCCAATTTCTCCATTACCCTTCCCAACTCTTATTTTCTGTTTGTTTTTTTTAATAATAGCCACCATCCTAATGGCTGTGAATTTATTTTTCTTTTTAAAAACGAAAGCACTCCAAGAGGGATATCAGATGGTGGTGATAAGTCGCACATCTAAAGATGTGGCCTTGTTCTGAATGGGGTTGATGATGAACCCAAAACTCAGACAAGGACAAAAGGACAAACGCAAGATGCAGAACTGTGGGTATAGTAGGCTAGACCATGCTTCATTTATATATGCAAAAATTTGCATATATAAAACTGTATAATATATACACATAATTTATTCCCCAAAAAGATGTACAAAAAACTGCGATGATGGCTGCAGAGGTGACCATCCTTGGGGGAGAAACTCCCTTTGGTTCTGGGAGCCTCCAGCTTTGCCGCCTCTTTTAGTTATGTGGGATCCAGCGTGGTAGTGACCTGCTGTTCTTCGGGGGGAAGTTAGCATTTGGAAGGCATCTGCCTGTGGATGCTTTAGAATGAGCCACCAAGTATTTCAGTGACCAAGGTCTGTGTTCATTGTGGGCAGAGTGTGTGTTTATTAACGTGTACACAGACTGATTTGTTTCTAATAAGATCACCGAGGTTTAGGGGAGGAGGGGACCTTCAACTCCAGGAACTAGGAATGTGACTGAAGGGGACCATCTTTCGGGAGAGATGAATCAGCCACAGTGACATGGTGTCGGGTGGGGTTGCCAAGAAGAAACCCAGCCCCAGTGAGTAGTTCTTTTTTTTTTTTTCTTGCTTTTTTCTTCTTTATTCTTTCCTTTATTTATTCATTTTTTTTTTTAGATAAGGTCTCCCTCTGTTGCCCCAGGTAGAGTATATCATAGCTCACTGTAACCTCAGACTCCTGGGCTCAAGTGATCCTCCTGCCTCAGCCTCCTGAGTAGCTGGGACTATAGGCGCTAGCCACCGACTCCAGCTAAATTTTTAATTTTTTTGTAGATATGGGATTTTGGCTGGGTTGCCCAGGCTGGTCTTGAACTCCTGACCTTAAGCAGTCCTCCCACCCTGGCCTCCCAAAGTCCTGGGGCTACAGGCATGAGCCACCACCTCTTGGCCTGAATTTTTTAAAAATGAACCAATACAGAAGGATCTCTGAGTGTGGTAGCCAGCCTCCAGGGTGGTCCCCACCTCCAGTGAGTCTCATCTCATGGTATTTGTGGTCTGGTATAATCCCCACCCATATTGTACCAGAGTTGGTCTGTGTAGCCAATAAAATATATGGAAGAGATGAGAGTATGTCGTTTCTGAGGTTAGGTTATAAAAGATACTGTGGCTTCCATTTTGTTCACTGTTTCTTTTACATTATTCCTTCTGGGGAAAACTGGCTACTGTACTGTGAGGACATTCAAGCCACCCTACAGAGAAAGCCATGGACTGAGGAACTGAGGCCTCCTGCCCACAGCGAGCCATGTAAGTGGACCCTCTGGCCCCAGTCGAGCCTTCAGATGAGGCAGCTCCCGCTGACAGCTTGACTGCAACCTCATGAGAGACAGAACCGCCCACCTTCCAAGCAGCTTCTAAATTCTCAATCCACCAAAATTGTGAGATAATAGTAAATGCTTGTCATTTTAAGTCACTATGGTTTTTTTTTGGGGGGGGGGCTAATTTGTTATGGAGCAGTAACTAGCTAATACATAGACATACTATGTTAAAGGACAAAAGCAAGATGCAGAACTGTGGGTATAGTAGGCTATGCCATGCTTCATTTATATATGCAAAAATTTGCATATATAAAACTGTATAATATATACGCATAATTTATTCCCCAAAAAGACGTACAAAAAACTGGCGATGATGGCTGCCTCCACAGAGAGAAACCAGGTGGCTGAGGGTCATGGATCAGAGAAAAAAATTTTTACCAATTATTCTTTGTACCTTTTGGTGCCTTACGCATTTTGTACTATGTGTATATATGTGTATTACCTATTCTGAATGAATAAATGAACGAATAACACGTTTACCTTGAGCAAGGACCTGGCAGCCTTCCGACAAGCCTCGTAGTACTGGTTGAAATTCAGAATGTCCCACTTTTTGCCGTTCTTTGACGCAACGGCTGGACACAGCCCGAATCGGTTGACCGATTCTCGGAAAAACTCAGGGATGGTCACCGGGGTCTCGTGGCCTGATCCGTGTTTTGACAGCCTCAGAAGGACTTCTTCATTGGGATGGCTGGTCCACAGCCTGGGAGCAGCTGCAAACAGTCACCAGGGTTGGGCGGCAATGTTTTTATTTGTTTAATGACATTGGGGTGGTAATGGTGTCTTTTTGGACCTACGGTGCTGAGCGTTGAATTAATTCTACTCTTTGGGAGAAGTTACATGGTCAACTCTGATAAAGTCAAGCTTCCCTCTCTTATTTATTTTTTCATTGTCCCCTCAACAATTTCTTTTTTTCTTTTGAGACAGAGTCCCTCTCTGTCTCTCTCAGACTAGAGTGCAGTGGTGTCAGCCTAGCTCACAGCAACCTCAGAATCCTGGGCTCAAGCGATCATCCTGCTTCAGCCTCCTGAGTAGCTGGGACTAGAGATGCCGCCACCACATGCCCAGCTAATTTTTCTATTTTTTGTAGAGATGGGGGTCTGGCTATATTGTCCAGGCTGGTCTCAAATTCCTTAGCTCAAGCAATCCTCCTGCCTCGGCCCCCCACAATGCTAGCATTATAGGTGTGAGCCACTGTGCCTGGCCCTGCCTCAGCAAATTTTAATGAAACTTTTCAGGCATCCAAGAAAGTCCAAAGGATCGTATATCAAGCCCCCTGCTCCCCACCACCCGGATTCTACAACCTGTGTTACTTCATCACACATCTGCCCATCTGTCCTTACGTCCATCGCTCCATCTTATTTTCTGATGCATTTCAGGGCAAGCTAAAACTAGTCATCCGTTTCACCCTTAAACACTTTTGCATGTGAATCATTTACTAGAGTTCCATGTTATTGTCAGGGATTTTTTTTAAAGGTAAAATTTACATGCAAGTGGATTACATATGCTTTGGCCAGTGGCATATAAGAAGTGACCGATGTTTGTGACTCCCAGGTAGAGATTTAAGAGCCAGCGCATGATTCACTATGCCTCATTCTCCCACCACAGGGAATGGTAGAAGCAAATATCACTACCAAGAAGGAGCCCCCACCTCTAGGCCAGACGCACAACATGAGTGAGAAACAAGCTTGGGTCGTGTTGAGCCATTGAGGCAGTCCTATAGGGACCAACCCAAAACTGGCTTTGGTATCCCATATCTATCACCCGAGTAAGGGTTGACCCTGAGAAACAAGAGAAGAGGCTGGGCGCGGTGGCTCACGCCTGTAATCGTAGCACTCTGGGAGGCCGAGACGGGTGGATCGTTTGAGCTCAAGAGTTCAAGACCAGCCTGAGCAAGAGTGAGACCCAGTCTCTACTAAAAATAGAAAAATTAGCCGGGCATGGTGGCGCATACCTGTAGTCCCAGCTACTCAGGAGGCTGGGGTGGGAGGGTTGCTTGAGCCCAGGAGTTTGAGGTTGCTGTGAGCTAGGCTGACACCACGGCACTCACTCTAGCCCAGGCAACATAGTGAGACTCTGTCTCAAAAAAAGAGAAAGAAAGTGTCCCCTGCAGAGAGTTGTTGGTTGGCTGGGTGTTCCTCGCCACTCCTAGGAATGGGCCAAGTGAGAGAAGATTAAAAAGACCCCCTTGGAGAACTGGGGCTGTGACCCTGAGTTTGTTCAACTGACGTTGGTCTACTGGAAAAGCGGTAGTTGAAAATGGCGGAGGGGGCGGCTGTGTTGGAAGGAGATCGCACGTCCACCTGCCAAGGGACACTATGTTGTCCCCTTGGCTGGACATGGGCCTCAAGGATGGGCCCCCAAAGGCTGCTGGCTCCAAGCCAGTAGAACGACAGGATTTTATGCTCAGATAGTCCATCCGTCTGCTGGGCTTGTCGTCACAAAGTGCCCCAGGCTAGGCTGAGTGGCTGTCATAACAGAAACGTGCCGTCTCACGGTTCTGGAGGCCAGAAGCCGGACACCAAGGTGCCAGCAGGGGCGGTTCCTTCTGGGGCCGTCAGGGACAGCGTGTTCTGCGCCGCCCTCCCAGCGTCTGCCCGAAGCCGCAGCTCCTTGGCTGGTGGATGTGTCGCTCCAGCCTCTGCCTTCGTCCTCCCGTGGGCCCCTCCCCTGTGTCTGTGTCCAAGTGTCCCCTTTTGCTAAGGACACCAGTCACACTGCGTGAGGACCCACCCTCATGACCTCATTTTAACTGATTGCATCTGCAGTGACACTGTTTCCGAATAAGGTCACATTCTGGAATTCTGGGTGGACGTGAAATTTGGCCTTTGATCTGGGACTTCGGGCACCCAGAACCGTGAGCCAGTACATTTCTGTTGTTTCAGACACCCCAACTCTGTGTGTGACACGTGGTCCCAGGAAACGAATGGAACGAGTAAGGTGAGATTTGAAAATTATTACTATTGGAGGGTGACCGCAGGCGTTACCACGCTAGCCAGCGTTTTGTCTCCTTGGGGAAGGGGAGCCGTGGAACAGGACGAATGTCGACGGTGGTGCGAGGCCTCCTGGGTTCAGTTCTGGCGGTGAAATGGTTACAGTGTAATGACAAACGGTCGCCATCGTGTCCGCACTGTGTCCACATGGACGGTTCCTGGTGCTTTGTGCACACGGGCTCACATTCCACAGGGAGGTGCCATTGTCACTGTCCCCACGCTACAGATACGCAGATGAGGCTGCCAGTGATCAAGGGACTTGCCCTTTGGGACGTGGCCAGTAGAGCTCAGCTCTGAATGAAGTGACCTAAATCCACACTGTCAACGCCTTGCCTGGGCTGCCTCCATACCCCACCAGGGGTTGAAAATGGGCCCCAACATGGTCGGGCACCCTTGGCCAAGGCCAGAGGCTCGAGCAAAGAAGGGCTGGGTCCTTCGTAGAAGTCCAGACTCCTTCTAAAGAGCCTCTGCGGAATAACATGCCTCTCTCTCCCACGCCCTCTCTAGTGCGGCCTACCTTGTACTTTGCTCGTGTCTGCTTTCAGCTCTTCCACCTTTTCTTGCGTGGCTGGGGTTTCAGCCCTTCCAGCTTTGCCGAGACCATTCTTCACAGTTCTGCAATGCAAAAAGTGAGGAGCTTAGCAGGACCGGCAGAGACGCTATGGGTGGGTGAGGCCAACTCCTCCATCCATTGGACATGTCTGCCTAGAATCCTGGGATTGATTGGGCATGCCTGTCCTGGGCCTAAGAGGAGAGGAGAGTGGTCTGTGTGTCAAATAATAGAGCATTTGTAAAATCCAGAGGGTAGTCAGTCTTCAAGTTTCCAGAAGGGTCTCTTTTTTTTTTTTTTTTTTTTTGTCTCACTTTGTTGCCCAGGCTAGAGTGAGTGCCATGGCGTCAGCCTAGCTCACAGCAACCTCAAACTCCTGGGCTCAGCGATCCTACTGCCTCAGCCTCCCGAGTAGCTGGGACTACAGGCATGCGCCACCATGCCCGGCTAATTTTTTGTATATATATTTTTAGTTGGTCAATTAATTTCTTTCTACTTTTTTGGTAGAGACGGGGTCTCGCTCTTGCTCAGGCTGGTTTCGAACTCCTGACCTTGAGCGATCCGCCCGCCTCGGCCTCCCAAAGTGCTAGGATTACAGGCGTGAGCCACCGCGCCCGGCCAGCAGAAGGGTCTCTTAAATGGTTAGAATATAAGTATATATAAGTAATATATGTAGCCCTGTGTGTAAGAAAACATTTTGAAGTCTCCCAGGGGTAAGAAACTCTCACAGACTCACGTATTTATATGCTCTAGTCAACTTGCTTTAAAGATAGTGTAACATAAAAGCCCAAAGAGCATAAAGGAAAGGCAGGGTAAATCTTGCTACATACAAATTTTTAATTTTCCACGTTGCATCGCAAAGAATATCATAAACAAAATCAAAAGATCAACACATCAAGAGAAAATATGGGCAACACATCGAATAGACAAAGGCTTGATTTCCTTCCTATGTAAGGAACTCTGATGGATCAATAAGAAAAAGACCAAAAACCCAGTGGGAAAGTGGGCAAAGGACATGAATAGATGATTCTCTCAAAATAAAATGAAAAACTACATTTAAAAATAGGAAAATGTGCTCAATCTCAGTTATAAGAGAAATAGAATAGAAAATATTACGATCCAATTTTCATCAAAAATGAAAAAGGAAGAGAGCCCTCACCAGGAACCAACCCGGAGGGCACCTTGATCTTGGACTTTTGGCCTCCAGAACTGGGAGCAAATAAATTTCTGTCAAGCTGCCCAGTGTGTGGTATTTTATGGCAGTTCTAGCAAACTAATACAATTATGTAAATATTTAGAAGAATGTCACTTAATGAACTTATGAATCTAATGAATCAAAATTTCCCCAACATTTGTACAGTGGCCACATGTGTTCATTTAATTGAATTCCCCCAAGCTTTGAATAAAAATCTCAAATCCATTGATTTGTTCCAATCAAATAATGTCCTCAGATATTGTTAAGAGTCCCCTGGGAAAAGTGAGCACGAAATCTTTGGTTGACACTCTTGGAAACTGATTTTCCAGTGGTTTTCAGGGAGGAAAATTATATTATTTTGTTCATGATCAACAGCATACTTGATACAAGAATCAAGCAGTTGTTCTAAATTCTAGATTTGCCGTAATGTTTTCCAAACTCTAAACGTTTCTATCAGTGAATTCGGAGACCCAGCAGGACACAACGTCACCATAAATACCCTGGCGAACGAAGCCTCATAATGTGCACATGCTCTACACTAGCAAAAACTGATTTGTGTTTCAGTGAGAACAGGTGTCTAAAAAGGCACATTATAAAGTGGACTTGGATGAGTCTTTGTGGAGTTTATAGACACAAAGAAAACATGTGCGAGTGTGCAGCCCAAGAATGAATTAGAAGGAAGCCCAAGGTGCCCCTAGAGCAACTGGATCTGGACCAGAACTTTGGAGTCATTCTTAATTCACTCTTGACTGACGTCCTTCCCTCCCTCCCTCCCTCCCTCCCTCCCTCCCTCCCTCCCTCCCTCCCTCCCTCCCTCCCTCCCTTCCTCCCTTCCTTCCTTCCTTCCTTCCTTCTTTCCTTCCTTTCCCTCTTTCCTCTTTATTTCTCTCTCTTTTTCTCTGCCCCCAACACACACCCAATCCATCAGCTAATTCCATCAGCTCAGCCTTCAAAAATAAGTCCCGATCCTGTTGCACGCCAGACCCTGTCAAGCGTGGGTCCCATCAGCCAGACACGCTGTGTGGGTTCAGGCTGGATCCCGGTTCACACAAGATGTTTATGAGGCATTCAGGGACAACCACTGGCCACATTTCAGATGACATAAAGAAATAAAGAAAGGATGACTCATTTTTGAAAGCATGATACTGGCTTTGTAGAGAAGAGGAATCCTTGTCACCAAAGGATTCATACGTGGGATGACATGCTGTCTGGTACTAGCTTTAAACCCCTCCAGCAGGGTGGGGCTGTGTAGAGATGATGTAGAATCATGTTTGATTCTATGTTGACAGTAGTGGCAGCTGAGTAATGGGTACATGGGAGTTCATGATAGTACCAGCTTTATTTTTGTGTGTGTTTGAAATGTTCTATGATAAGAGCTTTTAAAAATAAAAATACAATGAAATGCTAGTCTGATGCCATCCCTTCTCTGCCTACAACCTTCCATGGCTCCCACTTCCCTCAGTATTAAGAGCCCAAGTCCTCTTACATATCCACAGGCCCTGCGTGACTTGCCCCATCCCCTTCCTGTCCTCCTCTCCTCCATCTCTCCCCCTCCTCACTCTGCTCCGGCCACACGGGCCTCCTCGCTGCGCCTCCAACACGCCAGGCACAGTCCTGCCCCAGGGCCTTTGCACGGGCTGTTCCCTCTGCCTGGAACTCTCTTCCCCTCAGATACCCACATCTCCCTCCCTCCCCTCCTTCAAAATGGGAAACACGAGTAAGCTATCGACCCAGGACAGGATGCTCACATGCTCTGGCAATCAGGGAAATGCACGTCAAGATCACCATGAGAAATCATTTCTCCCCCAGTAGATGTGTGAAGAAACGCATCCACATGTTGGTGAGGAAGAAGAACGAGAGCTCTCATGCTGGTGGGAGCTAAACGTGGGCACAGCCCGTTTGGAAAACAGCGTGGTGTTAGTGAACGTGAACACATGCGTATCTCTGACTTGGCGGTTTCACTCCCAGGTACAGACCCAAGAGCAACTCTTGTACGTTTGTTCCAGGAGACACGAATAAGAATGTTCACAGCAGCAGCGTTCATCAGAACCCCGCACAGGGAGAGCCCAAATGTCCACCCACAGGAAGACAGTTAAATCGATTGTGGAATGCTATGCAGAAGGAAAATGAAGGAACATACACAATAATTTGGATGCATCTTGCCATAAGGCTGATACAGTAGCAGGTTGTGTGGTGTGATTCAATTGGTAAAAAGTTTACAAACGGGCAACATTAGGCCGGGCACGGTAGCTCACACCTGTAACCCCAGCACTCTGAGAGGCCAAGGTGGGAGAATCGCTTGAAGGCAGGAGTTCAAGACCAGCCTGGGCAAGAGTGAGACCCCCCATCTCTACAAAAAATAGAGAAATTGGCCAGGCTTAGTGGTGCACACCTGTAGTCCCAGCTGCTTGGGAGGCTGAGGCAGGAGGATCACCTGAGCTCAAGAGTTTGAGGTTGCTGTGAGCTATGATGATGCCACGGCACTCTAGACCCAGGCAATAAAGTAAGACCGCGTTTCAAAGAAAAAAAAGAATCTATCAATGTAAGTTACTATATTTAAGGAGCAAAGTGAAAAACAATATGATCTCAAGATAGAAAGATTTTGATGAAAATCCCTTAGCAAATAAGGAATGGAAGACATTTTCTTAGCTTGATTAAAGGATATCTACCAAAAATATGCAATACACATGATACTTAATCATAGCAACTAAAAAGCAACTAGAAGCATTTCCATGACGTCAGGAACAAGAAGACAAAGGCATCTGCTGTCACTGCTACTATCCAGGATTGACGTGGAGGTTTTTAGCCAATGCAGTAAGATAAGAAAAAGAAATGAGAGGTATAAAAGATTGAGAACAAAGTTGTCATTTCGCAAGTCCTATGATTGACTGCCTACACTGTCCAATCAACTGAGAAGCTATTAGAAATAAAAACTTCTATAGGGTGGCTAGATAAAAGATAAGATCAGTTGTTTTCTTGAACTCTCGAGGCTGCCAATGAGAAAACGTGTGCCCCTCTCCCATACCGCTGGCACCTGCCACTCCTCTCGGGGTGTGGTTCTGGCCATCAGGGCAGGGCATTGGCAACAGACATCTGGTTGCTCGGGTGTTCCCTTCTTCTGCAAGGACAATTAGCAGATAGTCCCTCCTGGAAACCTTAACATGCGCTGCCCCTTCCAAGCCCTCGTTACCCTCTAAGTCCAGCCAGGGTGATGGTGGTCGTGGGAGGCAGGGAAGGGGGTGGTTTCCCTCCACAACAAGCCTTCTACCCCATTCTACTTTCCAGAACCTTCCATCTCAGCCACCTCTTATGACATCACTGGCCGTTCCTGCTTCCCCACCCCCATCCCCACCCCTAGAGGAAACTGCTTTCCAGGCGGGGGGATTCTTGCCATTTTTTCACTTATCATTCATTCATTCATTCATTCATTCGTGCATGTGTGCGTGCACTTCTGCATGTGTCTATGAGATTTTTAATGGAGCCATAACCCTAATGCCAGGCTAGATGCTGGGGACGTAAAGATGAGCGAATCCAGATGAGGTCTGTGCAAGAGGACAGGCAGGAAGTCTGCAATCGTGCAAACAGATAGGTGCTCAATAAAAATAAAGATGTATTGATCAAATCTTCTGCTCTGCCAAGAGAAAAGGACAGGGAATGTTGCATTGTCTCCGGACGTTTCACGCTCATTGTTGACAAGCGTCCACTGTGCAGAGCACCGAGGCAGCAGGGCTGGGGGAGCCAGTGGCCACCCCTCACCAAAGGATGACGCTACCTAGGCTCTCTGATCGCGAGGTGTGTCAATGTGCCTGGACCCTGCCCCATGGGATGTGGGCCTAACTGATTGGAGGCCTCCTCTGGGTCATGCCAGAACAGGAAAGGAGGTGGCACCCTTGTCCCTGATGGAATGCTGGGGTTGGGAGTGGCCACCTTAACGCAGGAGAGCAGCTGAAGGGTCTGGAGGCAGACTGACGGGAGTGGAGGACACTTGGTCCCCGATGGCTGCAGAGCCACTTTGCTAGTCCCTGACAGACACATGCAAGTTAGCGAGTTACAGGCACACTCCACACTCACTCATACACGCCCTCATCCAGACACATCCTCACAGGCACACCCACTCACACACACACACACACACTCCAACACACCTTCACACGGGCACACAATTGCATACACACATGCACGCACTACGTGCTTATATACTCATGTGCACGTGCACACTCACAAACATGCTCCCACAATCACACCCGTTCACTCACTCAAATACACCTCCATACAGACACACACTGGCATGCACACACACACACGCTTACACGCACAATCACATGCACCCTCGTACACACACACAATCACATACACGCATATGTGGTCGCACACCTAGGCATGACAGTCACACACATTGGACACACCCTCATACAGACACACAATCGCACACACACACTCGCACACACAGGCACTCACATGTGCCTAATCACACGGACACTCACGCACACACACACACACCGTCACGCAGACACAGTGACGTATAGTCACACAATATGCACTCACACTTGTACACGCCACACTCTCACGCACGCTCATATAAACACACAATTATATATATGCGCAGATGCATATATATGCACACGCACTTGCTCACACACACCCTCGTCCACAGTCACACAACACACTGTGACATGTACTCACACCTGTGCACTCGTGTACCCTTTCACACAATCACACACACACGTGCACATTTTCTCTCTCTGTCTCTCGCTACAGAAGAGTAAATCTGCTTAGGAAAGCCCTGCCCGTAGGTCATCCCAAACAAGGCCCAGTGAGGATGAGGAGGACACTGCCGGGTCACCCAGATCTCTTCAGTGATGAAAGGCTTGCGCCCCAGCTTCTGAGAATGCTGCCGGAAGCGGACCTCTGCCGTCCACCCCTTCAGATCCGTGTCTGCTGAATTGCAGGTCCTCACCCGGGGTCTCGCCCCGTCCCGGAGCAGCACGCATCGACGTGCGGGTATAAAGCCCTGGCCACCGTGCCCCGGCCTGGAGGGGACACCCCAGCTGCGGAGCTTCCCCCAGGGGCAGCCAGACCTCCCCCCCGCCCCCGCCACCCCCGTCTCTTTCTTTTCTTTCTTTTCTTTTCTTTCTTTTCTTTCTTTCTTTTCTTTCTTTCTTTCTTTCTTTCTTTCTTTCTTTCTTTCTTTCTTTCTTTCTTTCTTTCTTTCTTTCTTTCTTTCTCTTTCTTTCTTTCTCTCTCTCTCTCTATTTCTTTCTTTCTTTCTTTTCTTCCCTTCTTTTCTTCCTTTCTTCCCTCCCTCCCTTCCTTCCTCCCTCCCTTCCTTCCTCCCTTCCTTCCTTCCTTCCTTCCTTCCTCCCTCTTTCTTTTCTTTCTTTCTTTCTTTCTTTCTTTCTTTCTTTCTTTCTTTCTTTCTTTCTTTCTTTCTTTCTTTCTTTCTTTCTCTTCTTTCTTCTCTTCTTTCTCTTCTCTTTTCTTTCTTCTTCTTTTCTTCCCTTCTTTTCTTCCTTTTCTTCCTCCTCCCTTCCTTCCTCCCTCCCTCCCTCCCTTCTCCCT